CCGCCCGCTACCCATCGGTCGTTGAAAGTATGTACACATGGTTCATTCCTAATTCTTCGAGCTCTTTCATTTTTTTGGGGGGGCCAAGATCCTGTCATTTCTAATTGTTCTATCCTGGGCCTCTTCCTGGCCACCAGGGGGCCAGGAACAATTCGAAACGGGCACGCTTAGAAGTGAGCACGCTTAGACATGAACTCGACGTGTTTTTTTGGATTCCCAGAGCCCACCTACGGTAGGTTTGCGTCGTGTCGACCAGCGGGGACCCCAGCGTGGGCGTTCAAGGTTGAACGCCGCTGGCGACCCAGAATCGATCGACGTTGAACGATCGGACGTTGCGGCAGCGGCCAATCGTTCAAGGTTGAACGATCCCTGCGGTGTCAAAAACCAACGCTGGGGTCAGCACGACACGAACCTGCCGTACTCTTTCCGACCGATGGGCACGCATCTCCGCCGCAAGGGTGGGCCCCGGTTCCGTGGGGATCCGCTCGGTGGGCAACGACCAGCACGAGCCGGCGGGCGACGGCGGGCCGATGTCCCTCCCAGAGTTCACGAAGCACCTCGAGGACCGCTCCCTCCTCTTCCACTGCCCGTCGCGCTTCTCCTCCCCCTGCGTGTGCGCCGTCTCCTCCTCCTCCTCCTCCTCCTCCTCCTCCTCCTCCTCCTCCTCCTCATACGTCGTGCTGTTTCAGAGAGCCCCCCCCCAGCTCTCGAGCCCTTCCTCAGAGGCAGTTTTTTTATGGTGGATGTTGTTTGATCGTCCTGGGGTCCGAGAGCGGCTTCTAGATGGCGGAGCTTGCGAAACAAACCAGTTGTTTGGTGCTTTGTTTTTTCTAGACAACGGAGGTCTGGGGCTCCAGCTCAGACTTCTGAGGGCACTTTGAGTGAGCGTGTCGGTGCAACAAAGCGTGTCGCGTTCAAAGGCACGACAAGCTACCGACGTGCTCTCGCTTACCCCAATAACCCCTGCGCTCGGAGATTGGGCGGTGGTGGTTAGCTGTCTCCGACTGCAAGCTGCTTCCGTTTTGTGCCCTCCATCAGATGTTGGCGTCACAAAGAAATTGCAATTGGTCGTGTAGTGTTTCCTCTCAGTTCTTCGGGGATGTCTACGGCGAATCACCGCCGCCGGCGAACTTTGGCCAAAATGTTGGACGAAGGGGTTATGTGGTGCGCGCTGTACAACCCATGTGGTGAAACCCGTATGGGGCAGGCTGTGTGGGGCGCCCGCTGCGGTGCATGATGTGCGGTGCAAGCTGAGTGGCGAAAGCTCCTGCGGGCGCCCACGAGGCGCCCATGGGTGCCCACGAGGCAGCCATGGGCGGCCGCGGGTAGTAACGTGGCGACGCCTGGGCACACCCATCCAGTCACCACCTACCAAACCACCCCCAACCCAACCCGAAGGCCTCCATTGGCCCTCCATCTCCAGTGGGGGGGGGGGGGTCGGGGAACATCGACAAAAACACGTGTGGAACCCATACCCCCCCCAACCCGAACCCGAAATTTGGGCATCTTCGGGTCGGGTTGGGGGGGTGTCTGCTAGGTGGCCATCCAGTCACCACGGGGGCGCCCACGAGGCACCCACGGGCGGCCACGGGCCGCACCGCCGCCGCGCAGCCTCGGCACGCCCACCGAGGCGGCCTCCGGCGGCAGCGTGGGCGCAGCCTCGGCGCACCCATCGTGAGGCGCCCACGAGGCGGCCGCGGGCGGCCACAGGCCGCACCGTCGCCGCGCAGCCTCGGCACGCCCACCGAGGCGGCCGCCGGCGGCAGCGTGGGCGCCACCTCGGCCTGCACCCAGCCGCGGGCGCCCGCGGGGCGGCCGCGGGGGCGGCCGCGCGGCGGAGCTGCGGCACGCCCACGCAACGCCCGCAGGCCGCACGAGGTCCTCGGAGCGCGGGCGCGTCCATCAGAAAAAAAATGGCAGATGGCAGATGAGGGGGAGGAGGAGGAGGAGGAGGAGGAGGAGGAGGAGGAGGAGGAGGAGGAGGAAGAGGAGGAGGAGGAGGAGGAGGAGGAGGTACGTTTTGAATGCGCTGTTGCTCTCTTCCGGCGGCGAGCGAGGCTGGGGAGCGAGGAGGAGAAGGCCTCAGAAGGCGGCGGGGCTTCTCAGAAGGCCCCGGGCCTTCTGAGAGGTGTTCTGTGTTTTCGGGGAGGGCTCAGAAAACTTCTCAGAACGCCAGGGGTCATCCGAGCCTTCTGAGAAGGTGCGCCCCTCCTCACTTTCCCCCCCCCCGCGCTCGCCGCCAACGCGCACTCCCTCCGCCTGCGCCAGGTCGGTGTCGCCCACGCTCTGACGGTCGGACCGGACCGGAGGGTAGCCGAATTCGAAGCAGGAACAACGACATAAGCATAAGTTGTTGGGCGTTCCGCGCGGGTGTTTTGGATCCGAGCTTGGCCCCCCAGCGGCGCCTTCGGCGCCGTCCCTGGCGCGATCCGCACGCCAGGGGAAGGGGTCCAGCGCAGATCCAAGAAATCCGCGCGGAGCGTCGTATATATGTGTGTGTGCCGTCTGGTCTTCCCTGGAAAGATCGAGGTCGGTTCGAGGAGGGTCCCCTAATGTTCTTCGTGCCTGTTGGATGTCTCTGTGCATCCTCGGGGGGGGGGCGCCCTCGCACGTTCTTCACTCTGGCTGGCGGAGGGTCTCCTGTTCTTGAAAGGCTTGTTCTTGGAGGAGGAAGAGGAGGAGGAGGAGGAGGAGGAGGAGGAGGAGGAGGAGGAGGAGGAGGAGGAGGAGGAGGACACGAGGAGAAGGAGGACGAGGACGAGGACGAGGACGAGGATGAGGATGAGGATGAGGATGAGGAGGAGGAGCAGGAGGAGGAGGAGGAGGAGGAGGTTGGCTGTAGTGCCAGTGGCTTCGTCGCGGGTGGCCTTTCTCTCCCAGCCCCCGGCCCTTCCCGTCTGCCTGCGGCTGTTTCCCTCTCCCCTGCGGGCGAGATTGGAGAGGCCTGACGGCTGGTGCCGCCGACCCTGATCGAAGGGGCTAGGAGGGGGAGTCGGATCTGGGGGGGGGCCCCAGGCCCCCCCGGAACCCCCACGGGTCCGACCCCTCCCCCCCCTCCGCACCGGGGAAGGGAAAGGGGAAGGGGCTTCCCTTCGAAGTATTGACGACGTTCAATCAATTGCTTGGCACTGCATGTGCAAGGAAGAGGACTCTGCTGACGGAGAGCGGGAGAACGGTGAGTGGAAGCTGGATGCGGCTAGAGAAAGCCGAGCAGGAAAGAGAGCACGACGCGAGCGGAGAAGCCCCTCACGCACGCCGACGGGTTCGGCGGATTTCTCTCTACATTCAAAGTGCCTCTTGGATTTTCCTCGAAGGGGCGGCCACGGGGCCGGGGCGCACTGGGCACGGATCAAGATCGAGGCGCTAGCGGGCAAGTTTATCCCCATCCAGTGCGCTTCTTCCTCCTGCTCCTCCTCCTCCTCCTGCTCCTCCTGCTCCTCCTCCTCCTGCTCCTTCTGCTCCTCCTGCTCCTTCTCCTCCTGCTCCTCCTGCTCCTCCTGCTCCTCCTCTTCCTCCTTCTCCTCATTCTCCTTCTCCTTCTCCTCCTCTCGGGCAGACGAAAGACTCGAGTGCGCCGGAGCTCGGGTTTGCCGATGCTCTTTGACGAGCGCGTCCTGGACTTTGACGGGCCCGTTCTCGTGGGATGTTTGCAGCGGGAGCTCGGGTCAAATTTGGGATGGGGTCTCGTCATTTTCATGATGGCCCCGTCAGGCCAACCCGAGTCCCCCGAACCCGAGTCTCACGTCTCCCCGATCCTCCTCGTTTCGTCTGCCGTGCCTGTGGCACGCTCCTGCCTGCGGCACGCCCCTGTCTGCCTTGCACCACGGTCGAGGTGCCGTTCCTCCCCCTGGGGGATCGCCGGTGGCTGAGGCCTCATTACATGGCGCTGCCGCCCATGTGGAGGATGTTCTCCGAGAGAACGAATTGTATACCCTCTTGCCTGCCGTGGCGGGCGAGACTGTAGACAGACCTCATGGCTACGTCCTCTCCTCCTCCTCCTCCTTCTCCTCCTCCTCCTTTCGCGCATGCGCCCCGCTAGAGCGGTCCGTTTCGCGCGACGAATGGTGCGCCTGCCAGCCCGGTGCAGGCGCAGAATGCGCCGGCGAAGGGACGCTGGCTTGGCGAGGGCAGCTCGTATATAGAACTCGCCTCGGCCAGGGCATGTAGTCACAGGCAGAACACGATCTTCCGATTCCGGTACCCTGAATGGTTAAATGGTCCTCATGATTCGTTTGAGTCTTCTTCTTCTCCGCCTCCCCCTCGAGGGATCGACGCTTTGCGTTTTCGTCCTCGCCCAGTGTCGCCTCGTAGGCCTACGATGTGGACATCGCAGAGTTTGGCCAGGGCGACGCGAAGACGCTGCAGGAGTTCTACAACGAGGTCATGGTGGATCAGGAGTCCTATCTCACCGTCACCGGCAAAAGCCTGGAGAGGTGCCGCAGCACACTCACCCCTCTCAGCATAGGACGAGAATTATGTGATTGGCTCAGGATGCTTTCTTGGAGTCCCGGTCTCTGTACATCAGAAATTCGTGAAGATTCCATCATCATGATCTCTTGCTCATCTCATAGCAACCCGCCACCAACCTCAAACCCGCACCGCACGAGGGGTTTCTCTGCTTCCTGGCTTCGCTCCATGCTTCCCTCGTCCTGTTTTGCGCCTGAAGCTCTTGCTGATCGTTTCTGCGGTCCTTCTCGAGGTTGCCCAACTTCGAACCTGTTCCCTGTTCTCCGTGCCGCTTCCGTCCGAGCTGCCCACGAGCAGGGTCGTCGAGATTGTCCGCATGCAGCTTCTCATGCGCGGCGACGACAACCGCTTGCGCGAGCTCAGGACTGCCACGCGTTAGATACGGAGACAGGCATGACGCCCACTGCAATTGATGATGAGAGGTCTCCTCCTCCTCCTCCTCCTCCTCCTCCTCCTCTTCTGTTCTTCGTCCTCTTCTTTATTCGCCTTCTCTTTCTCATTCTTCCCCACTTCGCAGTCTTTTTGCTACAGCAGAGGCCCATGCCAAGAAAAACCCTGCTTGTCTCCAGGGTGCCCTGGGTGTCTTGGGCTTCGATGGTTCTGCTGTGGAAGGCGTGACGTTCCCACGCCAGAAATCAGTGGACGTCCTGGGGTCTCAGGGTTGGGCTTCTTGTGGAAGGTTTCTTGTGGACTGGCTTCCTCTGAAACTGTTCGGTCTCTGGAGATCGCTTCCCGGCGCCGGGGCCGCCCAGAACGGCTCAGGACGAACAGACGCCCATGGGGAGAGGGGGTCGGAGGCCCAGAGGGGCTCGCGTTCACGGGCAAGCTGCCAGCCTCGGAGGAGGGTGTTGATCGGCTGGGCGATGGCGATTCTCCTCACGATTCCCACCTCCCCTCCAGACGATCTAGAGATGGAGGGAGATGAGGACAAAGATGGGGAGGAGGAGAAAGAGGGATTGCAGAGGGAGAAAGAGGGCGAGGAGGAGGAGGAGGGGGAGGAATTGTTAGCGAGAGCGCCCAGCATCTGCAGAGCCCGGGGAACAAATACGGACTGGCAGCGCGTACGACAGAGGAGGCTCGGGGAACATTCATGGGCTTGGGCCAGAACGGAGTGGAGCATCTTGTTCGTTTGCGTCACGTATGCAGTTGGCCTCGACAGGCCGGCAGGGCGGGTGCGAACGGATTCTACCTAACAGCGAAGACTGATAGGTTTCTAGTATAGGGTCAAAAAAGAGCATCGTGACTCCCCAGGGGGGTCTGGGCAGATGCCGGACGGGATCCGGGGACTCCTTTTTTAGCCACGAGTAACGCACTTCGTGGTCTTCGAGTTCCCAGAACTCCATTCCTGGGCATTATTTTGAATGCCCGGAGCCAACTGTAGGCCACTTCGTGTTCTTCGAGTTCCCTGACCTCCACTCCTGGGCATGATTTTGAATGCCCGGAGCCAACTGTAGGCCACTTCGTGTTCTTCGAGTTCCCTGACCTCCATTCCTGGGCATGATTTTGAATGCCCGGAGCCAACTGTAGGCCACTTCGTGGTCTTCGAGTTCCCAGAGTTCCATGCCTGGGCATGATTTTGAATGCCCGGAGCCAACTGTAGGCCAACTCGTGTTCTTCGAGTTCCCAGAACTCCATTCCCGGGCCACATTTTGAATGCTGAGGCAGGCTTTTGCAGGCTGCTTGAGGCTGAGGCTGCTGAGGCTGAGGCAGGCTGAGGCAGGCTGAGGCTGAGGCTGAGGCTGAGGCCGAGGCTGAAGGCAGACTGAGGCTGAGGCTGAAGCAGGCTGAGGCTGAGGCTGAGGCAGGCTGAGGCTGAGGCTGAGGCAGGCTGATGCTGAGGCAGGCTGAGGCTGAGGCTGAGGCTGATGCAGGCTGAGGCTGAGGCAGGCTGAGGCTGAGGCCGAGGCTGAAGGCAGACTGAGGCTGAGGCTGAAGCAGGCTGAGGCTGAGGCTGAGGCAGGCTGAGGCTGAGGCTGAGGCAGGCTGATGCTGAGGCAGGCTGAGGCTGAGGCTGAGGCTGATGCAGGCTGAGGCTGAGGCAGGCTGAGGCTGAGGCCGAGGCTGAAGGCAGACTGAGGCTGAGGCTGAAGCAGGCTGAGGCTGAGGCTGAGGCAGGCTGAGGCTGAGGCTGAGGCAGGCTGATGCTGAGGCAGGCTGAGGCTGAGGCTGAGGCTGATGCAGGCTGAGGCTGAGGCAGGCTGAGGCTGAGGCCGAGGCTGAAGGCAGACTGAGGCTGAGGCTGAAGCAGGCTGAGGCTGAGGCTGAGGCAGGCTGAGGCTGAGGCTGAGGCAGGCTGATGCTGAGGCAGGCTGAGGCTGAGGCTGAGGCTGATGCAGGCTGAGGCTGAGGCAGGCTGAGGCTGAGGCCGAGGCTGAAGGCAGACTGAGGCTGAGGCTGAAGCAGGCTGAGGCTGAGGCTGAGGCAGGCTGAGGCTGAGGCAGGCTGAGGCTGAGGCTGAGGCAGGCTGAGGCTGAGGCTGAGGCTGAGGCTGAGGCTGAGGCTGAGGGCTGAGGCTGAGGCTGAGGCAGGCTGAGGCTGAGGCTGAGGCAGGCTGATGCTGAGGCAGGCTGAGGCTGAGGCTGAGGCTGATGCAGGCTGAGGCTGAGGCAGGCTGAGGCTGAGGCCGAGGCTGAAGGCAGACTGAGGCTGAGGCTGAAGCAGGCTGAGGCTGAGGCTGAGGCAGGCTGAGGCTGAGGCTGAGGCAGGCTGAGGCTGAGGCAGGCTGAGGCTGAGGCTGAGGCTGATGCAGGCTGAGGCTGAGGCAGGCTGAGGCTGAGGCCGAGGCTGAAGGCAGACTGAGGCTGAGGCTGAAGCAGGCTGAGGCTGAGGCTGAGGCAGGCTGAGGCTGAGGCAGGCTGAGGCTGAGGCTGAGGCAGGCTGAGGCTGAGGCTGTGACTGCGACTGTCGTTGCCACTGCGACTGTCATCGCGAATGCGAATTCGACTGCGAGATCAGCAGAATTCTACAACTGGATTCTCATCTGAATCGTAATGGGAATGCCATGCTTCCAGATATGCTCCTACACATCGCTGTTAGGTTGCTTTGCCAGGATAATTTTACCCCCACGCACACCCCGCCGTACATTGTATCTCTCTGCTCCGCTTGCAGTCCCAGAGTCGACCGTCAACGATGTTCGCTTGATGCTGCACCGTAGACAGCGTGGCCCGAATGGACCCTAGGAGGCGAACCACATAGCCTCCTTGTCGTTTCGCTTGAGACTCGATCCAAAACAAGCGCTGGGGCGGGAATGGAGTGGAGCATCATCAATTGGAACGCTACGATTTAGCATGGGTTCCATTGTCTGGTCGGGATCGGATGGCATGGGACGGAACGGGGCGGTTCGGGATGGGCTGGGGCGGCCCACTGAGATTGGTATCACGGTGATGACGATCATGACGATGATAATGATGTTGATGTTGATGATGATGCTGCTGATGATGATGATGGTGGTGGTGGTGGTGGTGATAAGGGTGAGGGTGAGGATGATGATGCTGATGATGATGACGAGGTTGATGATGATGACGCAGACGATGATGATGGTGATGACGATGATTATGCTGATGCGGGTGATGGCCATACTGATGCGGATGGTGGTGGTGATGCGGATGATGTTGATGATGATGATGATGATGATGATGATGATGATGATGTTGTTGATGCGGACTCTGATCGTGATGTTGATGATGCTGATGATGATGCTGAGGATGATGTTGATGAGGTTGCGGATGATATTGATAATGTTGATGATTATGATGTTGAAAGAGAAGGTGGTGATGATGATGCAGGTGGTGGTGATGCTAGTTTTCGTGATGCTGATGCTGATGATGGTGATGACTCTGCTGATGAATATGATGTTGATAATGCCGATGGTGATGCTGATGGTGATGATGATGATGATGATGACGATGATGATGATGATGATGATGATGATGATGAAGATGCTGCTGATGATGATGATGGGACTGGCGAGGGTTGTGATGATGACAATGTTAATCGTGGTGAGGATGCTGATGTTGTTGATGGTGTTGATGATGGTGATGGTAATGATGATCATGACGATAATTAGGCTGAGGATGGTGATGAAGATGAGGGTACGGGTGACAATGACGATGGTGATGTTGATGGTGATGGTCATGGTTGTGCTGATGAGTTTGATGATGATGATGAGACGGATGATGACGATGATGCTAATGATGTTGGTACTGACGAGGTGTGTGATGCGGATGCTGTTAATCGTGGTGCTGCGAGTGCTGATGCTGTTGGTGCTGATGATGCTGATGCTGGTGACGAATATTATGATGCTAGGGATGAATATGATGATTAGTATGACGAGGGCGATGATGACGAGGAGAACGATGATGGTGATGATGATGAGGTTGGTGGTGATGACGATGGTAGTGATGATGGTGTTGTTGTTGGTGATGATGATGATGAGAGGAGGGTGAGGAGGATCAGAAGTTTGCTGTTATAGTTGTTTCCCTGATGTCGTAACGATTGGGCTATTGTTATACGTGTGATGCCTCCGCCCCCTATTCCTGCTGCATCCCGCCTCGTCCAAGATCTTTGACACCCAGACCTATTCGCACACTGGCCCACTCGTATTCATGCCCACTCGCGCTCAAGCTACCCACACTCAGATCCGATGTTATCCGTTTCAGCCATACTGTACATCGACACTTTGGGTTGGTCTTCGAACGCATGCTTCCGCAGCTTCCCCCTCCCCTGCCCCCCCAAGTGAGTATGGTAACAAGGAGGAATGAAGCTGTGGGAATTCCCTGGGCGATCGAAAAACGTTCCACCACCGAACAGTTTCGGCGACCCTGGACTGTAACCACGTTTAGGTTGGAGACCGGGGGGGTGGGGGTAAGTGAACATACGTCGCAATGTCGCATGCGCGCACACATATCAGTCACACTCAGAATATTCACGCTCAGACGGACTCACGTTTCAGTCTCCACCCACACCCAAGCATACCCAGACCCATTCATACTCAGACGGAATCACGCTAATAACCCGTTTGCGCTGATAAATCCACACTCGGACTTGTGTGAGCACCACACACTTACCCGTTTTGGCCAGTTTCAGAATTACACAGACCACTCACATTCGGATAATTCAGGCTCACACTCGCTCGAATGCAGATTCACTCACACTCAGTGTTGTCCACTCTCAGCCACTCATATTCATATCCACTGATATTCCGACCTGCACATATTCAGACCCCTTCATATTCAGAACCCTCCTGCACATACGAATATGTCCTCGGGCGTTCATGGCTACTGCGATGTAGCAGGCGAAGTATGTGGGTACAACGGGGGAGCCGTCAGAGGGAAGGACTCTTGCCAGTTCGTGTTCAGATTGTGGAGGCGTCTCAAGTGAAACTCTGGTTTGGGCTTCCCCTCCTCCTTCGTTCTCCATGCCGTGAGTCTGGAGCCCTTCTTAGCAAAGACGGCCATGGCGAATCACCGCCGCCCCTTGCCTCATGTAAGCGCCCATGTGGTTCAACGTTGGGCCGAAGTCTGGCCCAGCTCATGTGGCCTCTTCGGGTGGGGCTTCTCTGGGAGCTTTTCAGGGACACCTTGGCCTCTGGAGACCGTCTTGGGGACCTCTCTAGGCCGTCGTGGGTCCCTCTCTGGGCGCTTGAGGGCTGTCGTGGAGGCCTGTGGGGCTGTCGTTGGGTCGTCTTGTAGGCCTCTTGGGCGCCTCTTGGGCCGCCTTGGGGCGGTCCTTGTGGGCCTGTGGGGCCGCCCTGAAGCGTCGGAAGCCCGCAAAGGCCAGCACGCTAAACTCATTTGAGAACGTACGGAGCATCAGCGATTTCGGCCTCTCGATCCGCTCGGTTGCACCGGGGACGAACGTCCGAGCGATGGCGAGTTCCGAGTCAACTCTTTTGTGGTTGATTCCTCATGTTTTTGCAGCTCTGGTGACACGAACAAGCCAGAAGTTGCCAAGCAGGATTTCGCGGGGTCCGCGCGGGACATCTATCAGCGTACCGAAAAAAAAAATCAGCGATTTCGGCCTCCTCTGGAGGTCCTCTAGGAGCCTCTTGGGGCGTATTGGCGCCCCTTGTGGGCCGTTGGCAGTCTTGGGGTCATCTTGGGCCGACTTGAATGTACAGTCGGTCTTGATTAGTAGGTCGACCCTGCAAAATCAAGGGTTCCCTCGTGTCCTGTGCCTCGCGACCCATGCCTCCTGCATTCCTCTGGCGCTGTGGCCCTCGGAAGGGTCTTGTGTCCTGTCGCGTGTCCTGTCCAATCAAGTCCGACTGTATCATGGGCCGTCGTGGAGTCATCTTGGGGCAGTCTTGGCCTCTCTGGGGGCCATCGTCCTCACCTTGGAGGCATGTTGGAGGCATCTTGGAGGCCATTCTGGCCGTGTTGGAGGCGACAGGGGCCTTGTCTCCCACCTTCTGGGGGGCTCTCTCCGGATGGCCAGCGGGCTGGACCGAGGCTCCGCTTGGAGCCTGGAAGGGCAAGAACCATGCAGAAGTTCAGCGCGCCGTGCACCCCTTGTGGCAAGCCACGGGGCGGCGGCGGATGACGGAAGGCGCCGGCAGAAGGCGCGCGCCGCGTCGCGATGCGTAGCCAGTTCGGCCCAAGCCACGTCCGCCAGCCGGGGGGGGCTCCTCGCGGGCGCGGTGTGCCCGCCATGTGGCGCCAGCTGGGCAGCGTGTGCCCGGAGGCCTCCCCCGAGGAGGGCCTGCTGCTCCCGGGGGCGCCGCGCGCCGCCGGCGGGCCGGCCGGCGCCCGCGAGGGGCCCGAGGGGGCCGCGGAGGCGCAGGCGCGCGAGCAGGGGGCCGCAGGCTGCCAGCCTGCGAGGAGGCCTTGGCTGGCCCGGGCCGTGGCCGGCGCGCTGGCGCTGGCGCTCGCGGCGGGGGCGCGGGCCGCCGCCGCCGGGGGCCGCGCCGCCGCCGGGCCCGCGGGGGCCGCAGGCCGCGGGTGGCGAGGCGCGCTGCAGGCCGTGGAGGTGCCAGACGCGAAGGAGAGAACACGGCGGGAGCAGAGACTGTTGGCGCTCCGCGGGGGTTTCCGGGATCCGCGCGGGAGCCCCGCCAGCGGCGCCGCCCCTGGCGCGCTCCGCGCGCCGGGGAGGGGGTCCAGCGCAGAACGAGAAATCCTCTCGCGGAGTGCCAGCGGTTTGTGTGTTCTGGCGTCTTTGCTTCTTCTGGAGACGGGGGCAGTGCCACCCTCTTCGACCTGGCCGCGGAGGAAATCGCCCAGCAGCTGGACTCTGGCTACTGGCAGGTCGCTCAGCCGCACGTGACCATCAGGAATGCCCGCAACACGTTTGCCGAGGTCGTTGGGCACAAGGACAAGTGCGACATCGTGTCTGGCACGTCCGCGGGCGGGTGGGTACAGCTGTCCGCCCCCAGCAGCTACATGATGGAGTCCAGGAACGACGTCGAGCTCCTGAAACGCATACAGTTCGCGTGGCTGACGCAGCCCGGGGAGGACTGCGGTGGCGCGGGGTTCTATATGATCGAGTCCATGGAGCTGTGCCAGGCCGCGGCCCTGTCCATGGGGCTGCACGCCCAGGTCCTCACCGTCAAGGGCACCGCCGCGGGCGCCCCCCCCGAGGGCTGCTGGGTCCTGCCCCCCTTCCAGCCGGTCTGGTCGCCTGGCGGCGGGAGCGGAGGCGGCACGGACGCCCAGCCGCTCTGCGCCAGCGCGGAGCCCTGCAGGCCTCTCGAGACGAATGCGCTGGCGACGACGACGACGACGCCTGAAGCCCGTCCCGTCACGACCACCTCCACAGAGGCAGCCAGCACGGCCACGTCGACCACCGACCGCCAGACAACCGAGTCAACCACCCTCAGGACGGACTGGCCCGCGGGCTCGATGTTCTGCTTCCTGATGGCGCAGGTGGACGGTGGCTACGAGAGGGACCTCATCGAGAATGCCAAGCAGAGGGGGCTGAGCATCTACAACGCCGGCTGCGACGAGCACCTCACCATCACCGACGTCGAGATAGAGATCTGTGGCATGGGCTCGTGCGAGACGACGGCTGCAATCGGCTCCTTCGCGTGCAAGAAGGGCGACTGGGGCTCCTGGGCGAATGCCGAGGTCTTCCTCAGGGGCTGGCGAGCCCTGAACGACGATCAGCGGTACAGACATCACGACTGGACCGTCAAGGTGGACGCAGATACCGTGTTCTACCCTGACAGGTTCCCGCTGCACATAAACATGCTCCAGCTGACAGGCGCCCGCTCCGTGTTCTTCATGAACTTTATGCCCGGCTATCCGGTGGTCGGGGCCCTCGAGGCGGTCTCCACCATTGTGTTGAGAGCCTTCTTTGACCAGTATTCCACCAAGTGTGACGACCTGGCTATAGGCGCCGCCGAGGACTACTGGTTCTGGAAGTGCATGGAGCGACTGGGTGCCCAGATGATCCAGGACGACGCGCTTCTCCAGCACGAGGGGCACCCCGCAGGCGACAAGTGCACGGACGGTTGGTTCGTGGCCATGCACCCCTTCAAGACGGTCGGCGAGTACAACGCCTGCATCGACAGGCAGGGCTTCGGCACGTGAGACGTTGAGGATGGACATCCTCCGAGCGTGCTAACCGCTTCCCAGAACCTCCTCGCGTCGTGAAGAGCATGTTTGAGGGGGGGCTGCTTCTTAGAAGACTCCGCCAACAAAGCAGCTCACGATGTCGGAGGTCGCCCCTCCCGCCGTTCGTCTCCGCCGCGAACGTGCGCGGTCCCTGCGGCAGGAGGAGCAGTAGTTGTAGGTCGCAGGTAGATAGCGGCGCCGCTGCTGTAGCGGCGGATTGGTCCTCGGGGCCTCGGGCCCGTGCTCGTCTAGCGGCGCCGCTGCTGTAGCGGCGGATCGGTCCTCGGGGCCTCGGGCCCGTGCTCGTCTCCGGAGGGGGACAAGCACACAGGCACAACTGATCGTCGATTCCCAGGAACAGATGTGGAAGCATGGGAAGCGGGGGGAAGATGAAAATCCTGAACAGATGAGGAAGTCTGGGGGATCCTGGGATTTGTGTGTGCATTTATTTGTTTGTCCCTGGGCCTCTTCATCCTCTGTACTGCAGAGAGCTCGAGGCCGCTGCAGTTTTGGCAACATCTTTTTGGCAACGGACTCGGAGTCGGCCAATGTGCCGGCAGCTTTCGGCCTCGACCGGCCGCGAGTTGATTGGTGGGCCTTCCAGGGGGGCCTCTATGACTGGGGCCCTTTGGCGGCTCTGACTTTCAGTATCGTTTAACCGATCCCCATCCCCATCCTCATCCCCTTCGAGACCCCCACCAAATTACCCCCCCAGTGGAGGATACACCCCTCGAAACCCGAAGGGAACGGCCTATATCCCTATCTAGGGGGGTAAATCGACCATCGGGGCCCAGGCCATGTCGCTGGGGATGGGGATCGGTTGAACGATCCTCAGACTTGTCCGCGGTGTCGTGCCTGCACAATGCTGACGGCGGCCTGACTGGGCCCGACATCCGAAACTGCTGCGCGCCGGCAAAGGGCGGGCGCTGGCGCAGACGGAACTTTAGACTTTCCTCTGCCTTTTCTCCGCCGGTGCCCGCGCGGCGAGTGTGTGTCTCTTCAGCTTGCTCTTGTACTTCGATGGGCTCCCCGTGCCTCCCCTCGCCCTGTTCAGTAGAAGACCCCCTGCTTGTACGCTTCTCTAAAGTGGGTCGCGCACCAACTCATCGCGAGTACAGCCGGTAATGCTGGGGACATGCTGGCGACAGAAACAAGTTTAAAAAGAGCAATGAGGAGTGTGAGGGGGTGGCAGGGGTAGCGTCGCGATCCGCTAGTCGGGAGAAATAACACGGGGGCGGGGGCGGGAGTATGCAGCCTGGGCGGCAGATCTAATCGCTCCAAGTTTCGGCAATGTTCGGCCCAAGACGACCACGTCAGCCTCAAGAGGGCCCCAAGTCGGCCAAAGAGGTCCCAAGATACCTCCAAGACGGCGTCCGAGAGGTCCAAGAGGGTTCGAAGACGGCCCAAGCGCGTTCCGAGAGGGCCTAATATGGTGCCAAGTCAGCCCAAACGGCCCCACGACGCTCCAAGAGGCCCCCAAAGGGGACCCCCAAGAGGCAGAACTCGTCCCATTACCTAAGAGAAACGTGCATTTTCAGCACATTCACTTCTGTGGTGAGGCCCCCAAGACGGCCCAAATCGGCGTCAAGACGGCCCAAGAGAGCCCGAAGACGGTCCAAGAAGGCCCCTGAGGGCCCCCAAAAGTTCCCAAGAGAGACAGGAGGTCCCCAAGGGGACCCAGGAGGGCCCCAGAGGGCCCCAAGACGGCCCAAGCCCGCCAAGATGCCAAGAGGGTCCCCGGACGGCCCAAAGGGCCCCGAGACGGCCCAAAAGAGCCCCAAAAGTACCCGCAGGAAGCCCGGGAAATGTAATCTTTATTCATTTTCGCAAGGTTCGTTGCTAGATTTCTGTATGTCGTGCCGAAGCCTTAACACCAACAGGGCTCCACGATACTAAGCCAGCGACCTCACGCCCTCACAAAATAAACGCGCTTTCCGTCCCCATGCCCAGCAGGTGACGGAAGGAGCGAGATACGAGTGATGTACGTTGAGTTGGGGCGAAGCCCTCTACGGAGGGGTTCATGGGAGGGGTGGGGCGCGGAGGACCAAACGTTGATGGCCGAACCCCTCCCGAGACGGCCCCAGAGGCGCCCAAGACGGCCCAAGAAGCACCCAAGACGGCCCAAGGTACCCCCAAGAGGGGTCCAAAAGGGGTCCTAGACGGCCCGAGAGCGCTCCAAGGGACCCCGAGACCGTCCAAGACCGTTCCGAGACGGCCTAAGATAGCCTCAAGGCAGTCCGAGCGGGCCCCGAGACGCTCCAAGAGGGCTCCAAGAGGCTTCCCCAGAGGGCTCCAAGACGCAAACGTCACTGATTTTCAACGGTTGTTCAAGGTTTTTCGGGTTCTCTTCCTCTCGGGCCAAGAACGGCCCAAAACGGCCCAAGAGGCTCCCAGAAGGGGTCGAAAACAGCCCAGGAGGGCCCCATGACGGTCCCTGAGGGCCCCAAGATGGCCCGAGAAGGCCCGAAGACGGCCCAAAGAGAGCCCCAAGAGGGCCCCAAGACGGCCCCCAAAAGGGTCCCAAGAGGCCCATAAGATAGCCCCAAGACGGCCAATAGCCTCCAAGACGGCCCAGGACGGCCCAAGAGGGCTCCAAGAGGGCCCCAAGACGGCCCCAAGAGAGCCCCAGGAGGTCCCTCCCCGAGAGGCTCTCAAGAGGCTTCCCCCCAAGACAGCCCCAAGACGGCCACGGGCCTCCAAGACGGCCCAGACGGGCCAGAAGAGCCCCAAGACGGCTCAAAGGGGCTTCGAGAGGGCACCCAAAGGCCCCCCGAAGGCCTTGGGGCCGAAACCGAGGGTAAACGCCCGGACAGACAAGGTCATATCGTCGGACATTCGGGCTCCTTCACCCCAAGCGCACGTCTTGCCGACAACGGCCGGCCCTTGACCGGCCGGCGCGGCCCCGAATAGAAGTGCCGCGGCGTGGCCGCGGGGGCGGCGCCTGCGTGCGCGGGAGGGCCATCCTTCCTGCTTCCTCCCTCTCCCTCCTTCCTCCTCCTTCCCCCTTCCTCCCTCCTCTCCTCCCTCCTCCGCACGACGGCATAACATCTGGTGTAACGCCAGACTGCGTCCAAACAGTCCTTCCTGCTCCCCCTTCTCCTCCTCCTCCTCCTCCTCCTCCTCCTCCTCCTCCTCCTCCTCCTCCTCCTCCTCCTCCCTCCTCCTCCTCCTCCTCCTCCTCCTCCTCCTCCTTCTCCTCCTCCTCCTCTCCCTCCTCCTCCTCCTCCTCCTCCTCCTCCTCCTCCTCCTCCTCCTCCTCCTCCTCCCCCTCCTCCTAGGGCAAACACGCCAGGCCGCGTGCTCCGCACGCGCCGGTCTGGCGGCAGATTCACGCGACGACGGAAAGGCGCGGCGTACGCGTGCCGACTGCGGGGTGGGTGCGGGCAATTTTTGGGGCGATGTTCTCGCTAAGATGGGCTCGGCAAGCATCATTCATTGTGTCGGGGGTGCACGTGCGGGCCTGCGAGCTCCAGCTGTGGGAGGCTCGGGAGGCCATGCGCCACGTGGCCTGCGCGGCGGAGCGAGCAGTGCGGCTTTCTGCTGGCGGTTCGGCCGAGGTCCCGCAGCAGGTTGCCAATGCGAGCCGGGCGGGCGAAAAGGTGCCTGAGCTGAGCATCGTGACCCACGACCTGGTGCAGCTCACCAACGGCGTGCTGAAGCTGAAGTGCGTGGTGTGCTACCGTTACGCGGCCACTAAGGCCTCGCTCCAGACACTGTGCTATTCGCCGTGCGAGCCGACGACGGTGGGCGCATTCCACGTCACGGAGAAGGCGGGTTTCGCAGTCTGGTGCGCGGTCTGCGGCGCTTGGTCCAGCGAGTCGAATCGTCTCTCGCCCAAGTTCAGGGACCGGTGCGACGGCCCATCCAAGCACCCCGAAACTCGGAGGAAGGAGATGGACGCAGTGAGGCAGCCGCGGCGCGGGCTGCACCCCTACACGCGGGTTGCGCTGGAGATCGGAAAGGCCTTGGCGCGGTGCCACCGACGTGATGACCGCGGGCTCCCTGATGCTGGACGCCACGCGGGGCCACCAGGCCAGCACGGCTTCGGCTTCCACTCCGACTTCATAGTTTTTGTCGCGGTGCTGGGTGGCGGCGGCCCGGGGTTCGGCCCAGGCCTGGGCACGCTTCCAGAGGGCAGCGTCTTCGCCGTGGGTTTCTTCACGGTGCTCTACGGCGTGGTCGTGGGCCAGGCCTTTGGTCTGGCCCGCACAGGGGTGCTGGTTGAGCGGAGGCTCCCAGTTCCTGCAGGGTCCGAGGGCGTGAGGGCTCCGTGGCTGGACAGGCCCCTGGTCGTCTGACGGGCCCCCCCTTCTTCGGCGAGCGGGCGCACAGGCACGCTGGCGCCCGCCGCGGCTGGGTCTCTCTCTCTCTCGCTCTCCTCATCTCATGGTCCTCCCTCCTCCCATCCTCCTCCTCCTCCTGCTTCTCCTCCTCCTCCTCCTGGTTCCTGGTGGCCTGAGGGTTCGTCGAACGCGGCCATTATTCTTCCTCCTCCTACTCCTCCTCCTCTTCCTCGTGGTCCTCCCTTCTCCCATCCGCATCCTCCTCCGCTTCCTCCTCTTCCTGGTTCCTGGTGGCCTGAGGATTCGTCGAACGCCGCCATGATTCTTCCTCCTCCTCCTCCTCCTCCTCCTCCTCCTCCTCCTCCTCCTCATGGTCCTCCCTCCTCCCATCCGCATCCTCCTCCGCCTCCTCCTCTTCCTGGTTCCTGGTGGCCTGAGGGTTCGTCGAACAAGGCCATTATTCTTCCTCCTCTTCCTCCTCCTCCTCCTCCTCCTCCTCCTCCTCCTCCTCCTCCTCCTCCTTATATATCCTCCTTCTCCTCTTCCCCCTTCTCCCATCCGCCTCCTCCTTCTCTCCTCCTGCTCCTTATGCTCCTCCTCCTCCCTGCAGCTACTTCTGCGACCCGCCCAGCCAGGCGACGTCTTGTTTTTTCATGATGGGGCCCCCGGAGGTTCAAAGCCTCTCCCAAGGATTGTTTTTTCGTCGCGAGCCGTTTTTTTATGTCCACGGTCCCGGCGAGGACCCCTGGAGTCCGAAAACGAACAACACCTCCCGTGTTTTCTCACGATACGAGCTTGTTTGGGCCTCCTCCTCCTCCTCGTCCTCCTCCTCCTCCTGCGGAAGCTTGGGTCGGGGCAGTGACCTTGTTATACGAGCGCGACGTTGCGTGCGCCGCGAGGGTTGCGCTTTGTTGCGTCGTTCTGAGCCCCGCCGTGTCGGCGGCCGCGTCTGTGATTTTAGCACCGCCGTTTTTGTTTAAATGGCGAGGCCCTCCGCTCATGCCTGATGCAGCCTGGACAGCTGACTCTTAGCTGTCGCGTGATGCTGGGCGTCGGCTATCAGGTCTCCAAAGTGGTTGTTCCAACCTGGCCCTCGACCGTAGCTTACTGTTGCTTGTGCTGCCAGCTGTTGCGGGCAAGATTCCTATCCATCTTCAGTGTGCCTTGGATTTTCTGGGAAGAGGCGCCAAAAGGCCGAGGCGCGCTGGACATGGGTAAACGTCAAGCCTCTAGGGGCCGAATTGTTCTCCATATTCAGTGCGCCCGAGGGGAAGGGAACTCGAAACTCCGAGCTGCAGTGCACATGGACAAAAGTCTTGCCCGCAGCTGTCCCTCATCCCTCATCCCGCCCCCTCCCGCCCCGAAAGGATCTCCGCGCAGGCCAAGGCCGACGGCACCGTCCGCAGGCGGAACCAGAGGCTGGCCATGGTCATGAGGCCGTGCGACGACCTGCACTGGAAGGAGAGTCCGAGGAGAAAGGGGGAGGAGGAGGCTCCGTGGCGGCCCTTGTTGTCCGTCGCCGTCGCCTTCTTTATGAGGAGGCGCTCGGACGTGTGCATGTTTCCTTCGCCGAGGACCATCGAGGAGCATCCTTGATCATTTGGCGAAAAAACCACGCACGAAACAGGAAAAAAACAGAGAATGGACGTCCGAGCGATGGCCAGTTAGAGGAGGGAGGATGGAGGACTCTTGCCTGGCGACGGCGACGGCGGTTCGGGCGCGGCCGCGGCGATCGCGGGCGCGCCCGCGGCCGCGGCACGCTTCGGAGAATGGTCCGCCCGCGGGAGCGCAGGAGGAGGAGGAGGAGGAGGAGGTTCTATGCCTCCTAGATGGAGGTCCGAGCGGGTGGGGGCGGAGGATCGCGCCGCGTCGCCAAGGCATCGACGATGCGGCTCGATGTGGAGCCCGTGTTTCCCCTTGCCGACGTCGCCGATGCATCGCCGACGTCGCCGATGCATCGCAGGCGCATCGCCGATGTATCGGCAATGCATCGGCGATGCGGTGCAATCCTCCGACCCCATCTACTCCGACCCCGTCGAGGAGGCCTTGGGGGAGGAGGAGACGGAGGAGGTGGTCGCGCCCTTCTTTCATATACGTAGCACCCCGCAAATGCGGATAAGAGTGAGGGGGCGGTGGGGACGTCGGCACTTTGCGAGACTCTGGAGAAGCCCGCCGCAGGCGCCAACGTCGCACAAATTATACAACAAGCCCGCCGCAGGCGCCGATTTTTTCGCTAAGTAAACCGATGTGGGTAGGTCGCGGGTGGGTCGCACAGACGTCGCGGGTGGGTCGCGGGTGGGTCGTTGTTGGGTCACGGGTGGGTCGCGGGTGTAGGGGGCAGAAAATCCACCCCATAATAATCACCCCGACAAGCGAAGCCGTTTAGTAAACGCACACAAGGAATGAATCGAACAGGGCAGGGCTGTTTAGTAAACGCCCAGGGCCGTTCAGTAAACGTCAATTGTCGGGTCCGGGTGGTTTTTCCTCCCTTGAGGGTGGGTCGCGGGGTGGGTCGCGGGTGGGTCGCGGGGTGGGTCGCGGGTGGGCCGCGGATTGGTCGCGGATGGGTCGCACAGTGGGTCGCGGGTGGGTCGCGGGGTGGGTCGCGGGTGGGTCGCAGGTGGATCGCGGGTGGGTCGCGGGGTGGGTCGCAGGTGGGTCGCGGGTGGATCGCGGGTGGGTCGCGGGGTGGATCGCGGGGTGGGTCGCGGGGTGGGTCGCGGGGTTGGTCGCGGGTGGGTCGCGGGTGGGACGACGACAACACATTACAACAACAATCATTTTACCCTCATGCGCGATGTTCCCACACGAAGTATGCGACCATCATGATAGCCATCCCCATCATGGGGGACTCTTGTTCTATAGCGGGGTCCGTAATTCCCATTCCCAGATCTCCCGCCCAATGAGGTCTTGCAAACACCTCCGAGGAGGAACTCCAATGTATCCCGCCTCGAAAACACATGCCCGCGTCTTGCTGCGCCGATGCGGCACCGCCAGTGGAGCCCCAGCCAAGGGTAAAGCGCAAGAGCGTAAACTGTCGGAGGTCCGCGCGGATTGTCGGATCGGTGCTGGACTCGCTTCCTTGGCGCAGGGCCCATCACCGACCCCAGCGAGGGCACTCGAGGTTGCGGCGCGCCTCGGGGGGGAGGCTGTCGGGCCCGAGGGCTCTCTCAGACACGAGCCCGCGGTGCGAGATCATGGGTCAAGATCGGCCGAGAGCCTCCGCCGGTTGCGCAGATGATTCAAGACTGAAGCAGCCACGCGGTGTGAGGTAGCAGCGTCCCCCCGCCATCCTCCTGCGTCCTCGTGAGTCCTCTTACCTTTTCCCACGTACTCCCACGTCTCCACGCCCCTCTCCGTGTCCTCGCACCTGTTCCCCACGTCCTCCCGAATCCCCCCACGTCATCCTACCTCCTCCCGCCTACCCCCACCTCCCCCCCCAACCTTTCCCGCAGCTCCTCCCGCCTCCCCCCTTCCCCATCCCGAGTCTTCCCACCTCCTCCAGCCTTCCCCCCGGCCTCCTCCCACGTCCTCGCGAGTCTCCGTACGTCCGCCCACGTCCTCCCACGTCCTCCCACCTCTCCCCCATGCCTTCCCGCGATTTTCGGCGGTTGCGTGTCCGCATGCCGGCCGCCCTTTCTCCCAGTAAGCCCCACCCAGCGCGTGTTGTTCGACTCCCACGCGTTGGGCCTCATCTCGCGCCCGCCGGCGGCGGCGAGGACGCGGCCGTCCAGTGCCTCGAGCGGAAGTTTGGCCTCGGCCGGGCGGACCAGAGGAGCGCCGCCGCCGCCGCCGCTGCCGCCGCCGTCGTCGTCCGTCGCCGTCGTCGTCGCCGCCGACGCCGCCGTCGTCGTTTGTCGTCGTCGTCGCCGCCGCCGCCGGCGCCGTCGCCGTGGCAGCCGTCGCCGTCGCCTTTCGTGGCCGCCGTCGTCGCGGCAGCCGCCGGGGTCGCAGTCGCCGTCGAGCAGGGTCAGGGGTCGACGGCCGAGGGTCGTGGTGCTCAGGCGCTCGGAGCCACTGCCTCCAGGGCCTCGGACCTCCGGGGGGGCGCTCGCCTCCGCCGCCGCCGGCCTCGCCGTCCTCCTCCTCCTCCTCCTCCTCCTCCTCCTCCTCCTCCTCCTCCTCCTCCTCCTCTCCTCCTCCTCCCCCTTCTCCTCCCCCTCCTCCCCCTCCTCCTCCTCCTCCTCCTCATCTTCCTCCTCCTCCTCTCCTCCTCCTCCTCCTCCTCCTTCTCCTCCTCCTCCTCCTCCCCCTCCCCTCCCCCTCCTCATCCTCCTCTTCCTCCCTCCCCTCCCTCTCCCCCGCCCCTTCCTCCTCCTCCTCCTCCTCCTTCTCCTCCTCCTCATCCTCCTCCTGAGACAAAAGGACCCACGGGGCCTCTGGCCTGGGTTTTTGTTTGCTGGGGCCGCAGAGGCTTGTTGTTTGGCCCGCCAGGTACAAGTGCGGTCGACGCTGATACACATCCATCGGTCGTTGAAAGTGGGTCTTTGTGGGATTCCCGGATTCCCATCTACTTTAAGCGCCTTCCTACTTCAATGATCGATTGGCTCCACCGTTCCCGTCCTGTTCAGGGGGCGAGCGGACACCCAATCTACTTTCAACGGCCTCCTGCTTCATGCTCCCACCTGCTTCTTCCGACCGATGGGTGTAGGTTACACCAGGCTTGTTCAGATACCCCTGCGTGGGTCGTGGGTGCATGTGCGGTAGTGTTTGCGCTGGCATTCGCAGGCATGCGCCCGCTGTGCGCCCCGCCGGTGCGGGGCATGATGGTTGACGTGCCACCGTGCGCGAGGGCCCGGGCAGGTGCCGGGCTACGTGCGCCGTTCTCGGCTCCTCCAGGTTCGAGCCGGGCTCGTCCGTGCGCTCAGCGTAGCTACACGGGCGCGTCTCCGTACTGTGTGTTGACCTCTGTACGCTCCCGCCGCCATCCAGGCCGCCGTTGCCCGCTGCGTGAGGGGTGAGGGCTAGCTGGCCTTGCATTTGCCTCGCCTCGCGCTCAACGCAGCTGCAGGTTCGACTCACTTTGACTCCGGTTCGCCAGCATTTGGACGCCGGTGTGGATTCATGCCCTGGCCGCGTGCGATCAAAAGGTGTGCGAGTTCGGCGGCGAACTCCGAAACTTACTCTCGCAGATTAAGTATTCAGGCAACTCGATGGGCGGCGGGGGTAGGGTTCGCAATTCGTCGAACACGTGGCGAAATCCGAACCCTACCCCTGGCTCTCATCGAATCAGGAGAATCGATGGTTGGTGTGGGTAGGGTTCGGATGCCGCCACCTGCGAGTGAGTCTGTGTGTGTGCGTGCCTCTCTCTCACTCTCTCTCGGCATCGCGTTGTACAGCTCACTCGTACCTTCAGTCGTGCGCCTCGCCCCTCTCGGGGCTGTGCGCTCCTGCGTGCGTCGTGCGAGCCGTCTTTCCTGCATTGCAGCCCTCAGCCGCTGTCACCCATCAACAACGCTTGGCGGTAGAGTCAACCCGCAGATTAAGGATGAGCAATTTTACAAAGTTACCTTTGCATCCTTCCCCTTCGGCCCATCCTTGGACGCTTTCGCTGGCCGCGCCCGCTCGCGAAGCGTCGACATGGCCTTCCAAGGCCCTGACATCCTTATCGTGCGTGCTTGTGATGCGCGCCGATTGCAATCCTCACCACCGACGACACACTGCAGAAACATGCACTCTCGGCGCTCCGCGCGGACTTCTTGGATCGGCGCTGGGCCCCCCTTGCGGCGCCTCCGGCGCCACCCCTGGCGCGCTCCGCGCGCCAAGGAGGGGGGCCCGGCTCAGATCCGAGAATCAGGAGGGAAAGAAACACACAGACACAATTAATCGTCGATTCCCCAGAAAATATGGGGAAATATGGGAAGTGGGGGGGAAGACAAAAACCCAGAAAATATAGGAAAATATGGGGAATATTTTTATTTGTGTATATTTATTTGTGTGTCCTGGGGCCCGGCTCAGATCCGAGAAGTCCGCTCGGACCTCCGCAGACACAGACGGCTCCCCAGGGAGGCCCGAAGGCCGGAGGGCCTCGGAGGAGCCCCGCTGCCCTCTGAGAGGGCCCGGCACCTCGCACTTACCCCCCTGGGCGCGCCACCGCTGCCCTGAAATCCGACGTCACGAAACAATCGATGTATATATATATATATATATATATATATATATATACATACTCACACATATATATATATATACATTTACATATATATATATATATACATACATACATATATATATATAGATATATGTATATTAAGATGTACACATCTACGCGCACACGTTTGTATACAAATGTAGACATTTACCGAAGAACTCGACTACAGCCCTGGACCCCACGTGATGGCCCCAGGGCCCGAAACTGCGCGACCACGTCCGGTGCGCAAGCAAATGCAGCGCCCGGATCTCAGGGTTACCTCCTCAGCGCGCCGCCGCTGCCATCGCCGCCGTCGCCGCCGGCGTGGTCGTCGCCCTGGTCCTTGCCGGCGTCGCCGTTGGTGTCGTCGTCGTCGTCGTCGTCGTCGCCGTTGTGGCCGCCGCCGTCGCCGCTACGGCCGCCGCCGCCGCCGTGGTCGTCGTCGTCGTCGGCGGCGGCGTTGATGCCAGCCGTGCCCGGGTGTCTCGCCTGCCGCCGGGAGCCCTCGCGCGCCCCGCGGAGGAAGTGCCTGTCCTTCGAGTGGGACACCTACGCGCTGGCGGAGGAGCGCCTCGCCTCCAGGACGGTCCCAGACATCATGACCATCTACAAGGTTGAGGGCAGAGGACATAGTCAGTTTCAGAGGAGGACAGGGTACCGACACCGCCACCCTTGCCTCGTTGCCCCCTTCAGGGCCTCGTGGGAAGCCCTCGTCGCCGCTGCCGGATTCGCCTCGGCCTTCTGGACAGAACACACCCTGGGAGAGGTCCGGGGAGAGTAGCGATCGGGCAGAGGAGAGTAGGAGGAGGATGAGGATGAGTTTTCTTCTCTCGGGTCGAGCGTGTGCTCTGTTCAGTCATTCACGCAAGAATCCTTTTCGCCCTTACGCTTGCCCCTATAATATTTTGCACACGTTGCCTACGTCGGCATTGCAACGCCTCGCTTCCTTTTGCTCCCAGAAAGCTGCAGGCTCGCACCCAGAGCTCGCGCAACGTAAAACGGAGGAGGAGGAGGAGGAGGAGGAGGAGGAGGAGGAGGAGGAATAGGAGGAGGGGGAGGAGGAGGAGGAGGAGGAGGAGGAGGAGGAGGAGGAGGAGGAGGAGGAGGAGGAGGAGGGGGAGGAGGAGGAGGGGGAGGAGAGGAGAGGAGGAGGAAGGAGGAGGAGGAGGGAGGAGGAGGAGGAGGCGGAGGTCGGTCGGTCGGTCGGTCGCGGACCTCGAGCGGCTCAGTCATCTGAGCCCTGCCGGGAGGCTGCAGGCAGCCTGGTTAGCTTGCAGCCTATCGTTGGGCCGACTCGAGTCGAGTCGGCCAGGAAGAACTCATGGGGGGAGGCCAGCTCGGCCCCTGGTGCTGCTGCGCCAGGACGGTCTCGCTGTCCTCTGCCCCCCTCTAGAGGCCACTGAAAGGGGGTTCACGCCTGAGGGAAGCGGGGCAACAGGCAAGGCAAGGAGAAAGGGAGGAGGCAGGCTGCCAGTCCTTCAGCGCCTGGAGATGCGATGAGACCCCCATACCCCGCCTCCCCACCCGTCCTCAATCCTGCGGTGGCAGCTCGGAGCCAGCGATGCAGGTCGGCTTGGGGCAGGAGAGGGAGGATGAGGACGAGGACGAGAAGGAACAGGGGGAGGAGGAGGAGGAGGAGGAGGAGGAGGAGGAGGAGGAGGAGGAGGAGGAGCTGCCCATCCTCCCTTCTCCCCCGTCCTACTTCTGGTAGTGGTGGCGGGAAACTGACCCACCAGTAAAAACGGCCCCTCCCCCTGCCCTCGTGGAGGGCCGCCACGGACTCTGCATCTGAGCGCGCGTGGCGCGCACGGCGTCGCTGTGAGCACGCGGCTGCCCCGCATTCCGCCGGCCGGCCTGGGCACACGACGCGGCGGCGTTTCGGCGGCGGCGGCCCCGATGCCCTTTCTGCGTTGTTCCGCGGCGTGGACCCCTGGAGCTCTAGACCTTTTGCTTTGGTCCAGTTGGCCGTCCTGCGTGCTGCGCTAACGGCCCCCCCGGGCCCCTGCGAGGGCCCGCGGAGGCAGAGGCCTGGCCAGCAGCTTTTCCCGTCTCGTGCTTTTCGTTCGGGATCGCCCCTCCTCCTCCTCCTCCTTCTCCTCATCCTCCTCCTCCTCCTCCTCCTCCTCCTCCTCCTCCTCCCCCTCCTCCTCCCCCTCCTCCCCCTCCCCCCCCCCCCCTCCTCCTCCTCCTCCTCCTCCTCCTCCTCTCCTCCTCCTCCGCCTCCGCCTCCGCCTCTTCCTCCTCCTCCCCCTCCCTCCTCCTCCTCCCTCCTCCTCCTCCTCCTCCTCTCCTCCTCCTCCTCCTCCTCCTCCTCCTCCTCCTCCTCCTCCTCCTCCTCCCCCGTGCTGCTCATTTTGAACAGGACTCGCCGTCCGCGCCGCCGCGGGCTGTGTCCATTCGAGACAGAAGGCCGCCCGCCCAACAGCGGCCGCTGTTGGTTTGGGACAGCATTTGCTGTTCGGCATTGTACCCATTCTTTCCGTACCCATTTCGGGCGTCCAAAGCATTCAAGCAGTGGCGAAGCGCCCTGGCGTGCCTATATCGGAAACTGGAGCATAAGCATTACCAGTGGCGGGCGGTTTTTCAATCCCAGGACTTCTTTGAGGGTCGGGGACGACGTCGGGGTGGTGTGGTGTATACTGTTTCCCCGTCTTCACAGGGAAACAGCGGATAATGTATACACCAGGATCCCGTATACACCAGGAGCCGCTTGCCTGTGCAAGATTCAGTGTGAGGCCAGACAACTGCGTCAGTGTACTGAGTTCGGCTCCTGACTATAGGCCTATCAAACAATGTTCTAAGAACCATGTTGTGGTTACCGCGACATGGTCTTAGAACATTTCTGGCTGGGACTGTCTTGTTTCATCACATCGGGCTTACGCTCCAAGAACATTGTTTCTGTTATTGGACCATATTGGAGTATTAAGAGAAAATTTCGCGGCAGGCCTACAGAAATGCCGGGACGGTTGGCGCGAACGAAATGCGTACGGAAATAATGGGCACAATGCCCAGCAGCAGTTCCTGTTCATTCTGAATAGACCTCGCTGTCCGCGCCGCCGCGGCCTGTGCCCATTCGAGGCAGAAGGCCGCCTGCCCAACATCAAGGGAGGAAAAAACACCCGGACCGGACAATCGGCTTTTTTTAACGGCCATGGGCGTTTACTAAACAGCCCTGCCCTGTTGGATTTCTCCTTTGGGTGCATTTACTAAACGGCTTCGCGTGTCGGGGTGCTTTTTATCGGGGTTGATTTTCCTGCCCTCCACAACAGCGGCCGCAGTTGGTTTGGGACAACAATTGTTGTTGGGCATTGTGCCCATTTTTTCTGTGCCCGTTTCGGGCGTCCAAAGCTTGTTCGCAGCGCGAGGACTTTTTGCATTGTTCGGACGTGTGCTAGGGTCTTGTGGCCGGTGCCGCCGACCCTGGAGGCCTCGGCCCTCGACGGAAATAGGAAATGGGCGGGAGAGGGCTGGCAATGGGCCCCGGGAGGGTGGTATTCTGACCCGGGACACCCCCCGGGCCCCCCCTTCCTCCGCGGGGCAGGGGTCAAAGGGAAGGGGCTTCCCTTCGACTCAAATCACAACTTTGCTTACGTTCGCTGTGGATGGCTGGCGTATGTCGCTTTGGGCTACGTGTGCATCTTACTTCTCGGCGAGGGCCGTCGGGGAGTACTCTTGACCTCTCTTGCAACAGACATGCGCGCACGAAGCCGACGACGTGCACGGGGAAAGGGACGTCCGAGCGACGGCGCGAGGAGGTCCTGGGTGGTAGGCGGCACGACGAGAGCAGCCGGCCCGCCTCTCCGTGTCTGGCCTGGCCCCCGGAGTCGAGCAGTGGCGAAGCGTCCCGGCTCGCCTATAGCCCTACCAAACGGTGTTCCAAGAACCTTTTCTGCGGTTTCCACGGAATGCTCTCAGAGCAGTCCTGGCGGAGCCTGTCTTGCTTTGTCACATCGGGCTTGTGTTCTGAGAACCTTGTGTTGGTTCCCAGAACATGTTTGGGTTCGAAGAACATCTCGTGGCAGGACTGTAGGAATGCCAGGACGGCCGGTCCCTGCTGAACCCTTGGCATCGCTCGGACGTGTGCATGTTTCTTTCGGCGAGGACCATCGAGGAGCATCCTTGCTCACTTGGCGAAAAAACCACGCACGAAGCCGAAAAAATTACAGGGAATGGACGTCCGAGCGATGGCCAGAACCGGAGGTGCACAGCGTCACCGTGACCGTGCGGGACAAGGGGCGGCCCGAGCTGGCCGCGCTGGGCCTGCCGCTCGGCCTGGACTTCACCACGCAGCGGGGCACCCGCTTCTGGAGCTGGGCCCCGGTGGCGCCCCAGGAGGGGGGCCGCCGCGCCGGGCGTGGGGTGGTCAAGGGCCTCCGACGCCGGGATTGTCCGACACATCACATGTGTCCGTTTGCAGGGCAGGCAGTGCCAGCACAGGAGACTTGGGAGAGGGACGGGTAGAGGCGGATGGATGGTGGCGGTGCTGATGTTGGTGTTTCTGCAGACGATGATGGTGATGATGATTAGGAGGAGGGGGAGGAGGGAGGAGGAGGAGAAGGAGGAGGAGGAGGAGGAGGAGGGGAGGAGGAGGAGAGAGAGGAGGAGGAGGAGGGAGGAGGAGGAGGAGGAGGAGGAGGAGGAGGATGGTGATGATGAGGATGATGATGGAGGCGGAGGCGGCGGAGGAGGAGGAGGCCCAGAGGACGCCCAAGATGTACCAGCGAGAGGTGCAATCCACCCTCCCGTCCTCGGCGCCCCCCCCGTCACAACCCTGTTCTCTGCGCGAGGCGCCCGGAGCCCTCGGAAGGACGCCGCCCCATCCATCCTGCTCCTCCTCCTGCTCCTCCTGCTCCTCCTCCTCCTAATCCTCCTCCTCCTGCTCCTGCTCCTCCTCCTCCTCTTCCTCATCCTCCTCCTCCTCCTCCTCCTCCTCCTCCTCCTCTCCTCCTCTCCTCCTCCTCCTCCTCCTCCTCCTCCTCCTCCCTCTCCGACCTATGCGACAGGGTTGTTCGTGCAGTGGAGGCCCTTGCCAAGAAGCACCCTGCTCGCCTCCAGGGTGCCCCTGGGTTTCTCAGGCGATCGCAAACTTGGATTAAGGGGGCGTGGATTAGCGACGGGTCCGTTTTTTCATGGGAAATCGCAGACTTCAGCCGCCGAACGAGGCGTCACCGGCCGCATTTAGGGGAGGACACCTCCCCCGATCCATGGACTTCGACCGCGCGCCAAGTCAACGGATCGCTAATCCATGTTTGCGCGCCCCCGAGTTTCTTGGGCTTCGATGGCTTTGCTGCGGAGAGCGCGACGTTTCCCCACACCACAAAAGTCAGTGGACGTCCTGGGGTCTCGGGGTTGGGTTTTTTGTGGAAGGTTTCTTGTGGGTTGGCCCCCACTGCAGAGTCCAAGGACGTGCCCAACGACCGGCCCTCTTTGCAACGGAACCGCCCTGCATCCGTGCAGGTCTTGCACGCGCGCCAGCTATGGTGATAAAATCAAGCGAAACTTCCGGCGATAATCACATCCTGCAAACGCGCCGGCCTGAACGCATGGGCTTGCGGCGCTCTTTTTTACGTATGTGGCAGTACTCTGCGAGGAGCTCCGGCGAGGGCCCCGCTCTGCAAACGCTCCGGCCTTCATTCGTGCGATTGTTGGACGTCTTTAACGACGAATGCGTGCGGCGCCACAGCTCGGGTCGGGCGAAAGGGGGGGTTTGGGAAAGGGGGGGTTACGAAATCTGCTGCATGCAGCTGGTTTCGGCCCGACCGAGGGGCCCATTCCTCGATACATGGGCGCCTCCCGACGCCGGGAGGCGCCGGGAAAATCAGCTACGCGAGCTGATTCTCAAACCCCCCCTTTGCTATCCCCCCCTTTCGCCCGACCCGAACAGCCAGAGCCACATTTTGTGAATGACCATCCCTCCGCCCGTGTAAGTGTCGGAAGCTTCTTAGACGAACGTGCGCGGCGGCAAGGTGGGAGCCACATGTTGTGAACGACCAGCCCTACAGCCGTGAGTTTTTTGGGAGTTTTGCAGACGAACGTGCGCGGCGCCACGGCGAGAGCCACATTTGTGAACGACGGGCCCTCCACGCGTATAATTGTTGCACGCTTTTTAAGACGAATGTGCGTGGCGCTAAAGCGAGAGGCACATGTTCAAAACGACCGGCCCTCCGTTTGTGTGAATGTTGGAAGTTGTAAGAGGAACGTGCGCGGCATCAAATGCGGTAGCTACTTTGGTAGCTACTTCGGTATATTTCAGGCCTTCCATCCGTGTGACGTGTGTGGTGAATGCTTTCAAGACGGACGTGCCCGGCGCGGCTCTCAGGCGTGACCGTTGGAAGCGTTGAAGACGAACGTGCACGGCACTCAGGCGAGAGGCACATTCTGTCAGCGACCATTTTTCCATCCGTGTCCTTGGTGGAAGCATTGAAGACGACAGCACGCGAGCGCCACAGTTGAAAAACGGTATGCCCCCTATCCGTGTGATTGTTTTAGTTTTTCATGACGAAGACACGGCGCTGAGACGAGAGGCAATTTTTGAAAATGACTAGCCCTCCATCCGTCGGGTGGTGCTGGGACCGGGATCGAATGTTCCTGAGCGTTCCAGAACAATCTCCGAGCGTTCCACAGCGCTCTGACACGGCCGCGGCGACCCAACCATCCTCCAGGACCGCGAGTTTTCAGAGATCCCCGGTTCGTCCAAGCGCGGTTTCGTCCCAGTATTGGAATCGTCTGAATCTTTGCAACTGTTGAAGGGTTTTATCTCCGTGATTGTGATTTGTATGGAGGTCTCAAGCGAAATGGTTTGGTGGTGCGACAGGGAAGGGTCACCTAGCAGGAGGAGGCATGGAGAAAGGAGGGAGGATGCGGAAGGGGACGAGGAGGCGAAGAGGAGAAAGGGCGGAGGGACTGTGGCGGGACGGATGAGGAGGGAGAGGGTCGGGGCGATGAGGTAGAAGATGAGGGAGGAGGGCGATGGGATCAGGAGGAGGAGGATCAGGAGGAGGAGGAGGATCAGGAGGAGGAGGAGGAAGAGGAGGAGTTGGAAGAGGAGGAGGAGGAGGAAGAGAAGAAAGAGGACGGGAGGGAGAAATGGGACGATAACGAGGTCGAGGTGGACGAAGAGAAGAGCAGTGCTGGGCCAGCCCCGGCCATGGGCTTCCGAGGTGGCTAACAGCAGGGAGGACATGCTGATCGACCTGCTGAAGGCTCCGCGCTCCTCCGCCGCTACTTCACCCATACCTCCCAACAGATTGAGACATCACGAGGGATGTTAGTTGTGGTGTTCGTCCTCGGGGGACCGCTTTCAGGGCCAGGGGCAATAAAAGCATTTGTCAGGGGTGTAAAGCCGTTCCGAAGAACGGGTCCACAGGTCTGGGGGGCGCGCCTTGCAATCGAGAGCCACGACGTCGTAGGCTTAGAGTAAGGCATCTTGTTTTGCGAAGTTCAGCATTGTATGACGTGGCCTTTAGGAAGCATCATCCGGAAAAAGGTAGTACTCGACAGCCCTATCTGGTCAAGGGTCAGTTTACAGACTGAGCGCGCGCCCCTTACAACAGAGATCCCGACGATAAGGGAGGCCATGATACCACTAACTACTCCGATGTAGCTTTCTTAATTTCTGACCGTCATCGTGACCAATCATCCTGAGGTTCAGGGCCGCATGCATCGAGAAAGTTCAGAACTGCAAGGGGAATGTCCCAGCGCTGGGATGCGGGGGCGCCTCAGGGAATCTCTGAAGGTCTGGTGGTCAAGTTTTTTGTTCGTTAAGGTTTTGATGGCTGCCCCCCCTCTCTCTCCATTCGATCTCCATTCGATCCCTTTTGCCATCCTGTTCTTACCATGTTTTTCGCACATCGTTGCCTGGTCTATCTCGCGCTCATGAGGAAGCGGAGGAGGAAGCCTCAGACCAATCCCGTCATCTCTTCAGTCTGGTCTATTCACCCTCTCATGCATTCCACCTCAATGACCGCCTTCGTGCCAGACCAATGGCATCAACATTTCGGAGTTCCCTGCTGGTGCGTTCGCTGATCTCTATGACGAGGTGTACGAGAAGTGCCAGTCCACGTTGCAGGCATGCACTGGGAGCGTAGTGTTTGGCATTTGCGATCAGGGCCGAGTAGGACGATGAACGATGATGATGATGATGATGATGATGATGATGATGATGATGATGATGATGATGATGATGATGATGATGATGCTGATGCTGATGCTGATGCTAATGCTGATAATGATGATGAATATGAATATGAATATGATGATGAACATGATGATGCTGATACTGATGATGCTGATGCTGATGCTGATGCTGATGCTGATGATGATGATGAAGATGCTGATGAAGATGTTGATGCTGATGATGATGCTGATGTTGCTGCTGGTGATGATGCTGATGATGATCCAGATCATGAGCATGATGATCATGATGAACATTTCCCCCTCGGCGGACGGCGTGCGTCGCATAGCTCCCGCTCCAGGCGGGGGTACGCACCCACCCCCGCGACGCAACTTGGGCCCGCGCGACGACCAGGAAGACCAAGGCAACCAGGAGCCACGCTGACATCGAGCTGCCGGAGGAGGATGCGTGCGCGTTCGCTCTTCTTCTTCTTCTTCTTCTTCTTCTCCTCTTCCTCCTCCTCCTTCGCTTGGCTGCCGACATCCGTCGCATTCCGAACCGCCGCCCCTGTTCCGAAGTCCGACCTGCACGGGCTGGGCTCCCACTCGCAGCCGTCCGCATCGGTCCCGCCAGCCTCGGAGCGGACGCTGTCGGCTCCAGGAGCGGCACCCAGACCTGCGACGTCTTGATTTTTGTCACGCGGGATCCCCCGGGGAGTCCTGACCCTTCCCCAGGGCCAGCTGTTCACCCCCCGAGCCGTCTCTTGACAGTCTTGGGGGGCCCGGCGAGGGCCTCTTGCAGACATGGGATCAGTTTCGGATGTTGCTAGAAGTACCCCTGGACCGAGGTGCCCCCCAGATTCTCGGGGTGGCCCAGGCGGCCTCCAGGGCACCCCTCACGAGGCCCATGGTGACCCCAGGGGCTCCAAGTGGAGCGAAAAGCTGGGGGCACCTTGGGCCCGAAAGTTGTCGGAAACTGGAACATATACATTACCAGTGGCGTGCTGTTTTTCCATCCCTGGACTTTCTGAGGGGCAGGGACGACGTCGGGGTGGTGTGGTGTATAGTTGTTTCCCCGTCTTCCTGGGGAAATGACGAAAATATATACGCCAGCATCCCGTAATGGAGGATGACGATTAATAAATGACCGGGGGTTCGTGTTCACGCGGCGGCGCCCCGGATGACGATTAGAAAAAACCGACCGCGGGCTGGAAAACTTTTTTCAATCGTTCTCGTCCAGTCAGAAAATTGTGCAGAAATAGCAGAAAGCTGTGTTTTTTTAATCGTTCTCTCCCATTTTTGATTAATCCTCATCCCGCACCCGCATTATACACCAGGATCCGCTTTCCTGTGCAGGGCCGGAAAAAGCGTCGGCGTATAGAGCTCGCTTCCCTAAGTTGCTGCCGCTGCCCGTGCCCGCGCGCCGGCAGCGCGCCGCGGCTCGGCCGGTTTCCCGCTGGCCTCGCGTTGAGAGGCCCGGGGCGCGCGCCCCGCAAGGGGCGCCCCGCGCCGTGGCGAGAGCACGGCGGCTGCCCTCGGCGGCGCCCACGAGGGGCCCTCCGCCAGAGGTCAGTCGGGACGAACTAACAACACACATCCATACCCATAGAGGGGTCGGAGGGGGCTATGGGTGCGTGTTGTCGGATGGGGGTCCCCGCTCGGACGGGAGCGTTCCCCAGGGTCCGACAGCCCGCACCCATACCCATAGCCAGTCCTCCTCCCAACGACCCCCCTATGGGTATGGGTGCGTGTTGTCCGTTCGTCCAGTCGGGCGCGTCCCTCTACATCAGGCAGTGGCGAAGCGTCCTGGCGCGCCTGCAGCCCTACCAAACGATGTTCTAAGAACCCTTGGAGGTTTCCACGACATGTTATTTGAACATTTCTGGCGGAGTCTGTCCTGTTTTATCACATCGGGTCTATGTTCTAAGAACATTATTCTTGTTCTTAGAACAATTTGGGGCTCTTTCGTGGTAGGACTATGGGAATGCCGGGACGGTCGGCCCCTGCTCAACTACAGGAGGAATATTCAAAAATAGCGAACAAAAATCGTCAGGGGACGACGTGTTTAGTATTTTGAGCATTTTGGAGCATGTCTTGATTATCTTTAATCAAACTCTCCCTGTAGGGGGACAGGCCCGACCTAACACCAGATAAGCGAACGCATGGTAGCATGGGCGGCCATTGTCTTATTGTGCTGGCCCGACCAGGCGCTTTACTGGCTCGAGCAGGCTCGACGACGACGAGCACCCGCCAAACGTTGATATTTGTGGCGTATGTTCGTCTTCCTAAAGAGGTCACGAGAGTGGCACGTGTCAGGGTTTCAGGAAACGAGGGCCGTTGGTTAGATACTCTTTGGAAATCCCGAGGCGCATCCCGAGCCAATTCTACCATGGCATCGTTCCCGTCTCAACAGGTGCGCCAGGACCGCGCCCCACGCTTCGCTGTCCGGGCCGGGCAGTTGGCGCTCGCTGCGGGTCCGAGGTGGCCCAGCACTGGTGTCGGAGAGCAGGAAGTGTTGTGGAGGACGATCAATGGAGAGGAAGCATGTTGCCAAGTAATTTCCAGATGTCTAAAACATGGTTTAAACATGTTTAAAGCATGTAACACCATGTTTAAAACATGTTTAGAACATGCTCCTACATGTTTGAAACACTTACAATTCAATAGTAGGGCTGTTAGGGTGTCCATTGTCGTGGCATCCACAAAGGAAGTGGCGAGGTTCGTGGCGTTGGGTTGGATCATGTGTTTCGCCTTTTTCGGGTTATTGGGGCCGTGTTCGGTCCCCCGGACGCTGAAAATCGGACCCAGGGTGAGCAATTGCATCAGGTGGACCCTGGGAGAGGTCCGGGACAGATTCTGAGCGGGTTTGCCTTCATCCACTCTCCTTGATCTATCTTCTTGGGTCCCATCCAGTTCAGACCCCTGGCCGCCACCAGCCAGACATACGGTGGGCCCATTTTCCACCACCACTACCACAGGCAGGAGAGGGAGGAGGAGGAGGAGGAGGAGGAGAGGAGGAGGAGGGGAGGAGGAGGAGGAGGAGGAGGAGGAGGAGGAGGAGGAGGAGGAGCGGGACCTCCTCATCCTCCTCCCTCCCCCGTCCTGCACATGGTGGTGGCTGTGAGACTTTGGCCCTCAAGACGGCTCCGTCTGCGCCCTCGCTGGATCTGCTGCTGCTCCCCGTGCCACGCGCCCCCAGCGGGCGGGGCGCGTGGAGAGGCAGCCGCAGGGTGTCACCGGGCGTGTTCGAGTGGCTTGCGCCACCCCGCCGTTGCCACCCAAGGCGTGGGTGTTCGCCACGATCGCGGAAGTTCTGTCTCGCGTCGGGAGCTTCCTGGACGAGTCTGGGGGTCTCTCGGGGTGCCTCCCCGAGGCCTCCTGGAGAACTCCTGGGGGCACGTGGGGGGCTGACTGGGGGCCTCCTGGGGGTCTCCAGGGGGCTTCTTGGGGGCGTCTTGGAGGCCTCTTGGGGCTATTGGAGGGCCCTCGGGGGCCTCTGGGGGGGCTCGAGGGGCCATCTCGGTAGGAAAGGCTCGAAATGTCAATTCGCATGCCCCCTCTTGGACTTCCTTGGAGCCCTCTTAGGGCCCTCTAGGGGCTGTCTTGGGCCGCCTTGGGGTGTCCCTGGGGATGTCTTTGGGCTCTCTTTGGCCGGCTTGGGGCCTTCTTGGAGGCATCATGGGCCGTCTTGGGACGATCTGCGGGGCCACTTGGGCCGTCGTATCCGCTGTCGAAACGCGAAGTGCGAGTGTGCTCAAATGTGCGTTTTTGTTTCCAAGGGAATGGGATGATTTGGGCCTCTTGGGGCCCTCTCGGCGATCCTCTGGATACGCTTTTGGGTTGTCTTGGGGCCTCGTGGGCCATCTTGAAGCCATCTTCGATCGTCGTAGAGCTACCCTGGGCCGTCATGACGCTCTCTTCGACTGTATTGGTGCTCTGTCTGGGCCCTGTGGGGCAGTCTTGGGGCTTGCTGGGGGCTCCGGAGGCCCCGGGGGTGCGTTGGCGAGATCGCTCCCCCCCCACACCCCCTTCTGATCGGATGTTGAACCTGTTGGACCCTGGGGGAGGGGAAAGGGGGAGGTGGACAGCCAAATGACTCACACGCCTTTTCACCCCTGGCAAGCGGGGCTCAGCGGACTTTCTTTGTCATAGTGGAGAAACAGACAGCCGTCCTTCTCCAGGGACGCGGAGCGGGGTCGCGAATCTTGCCGCGCTTTGCGCTACGCGTAGCGCGAAGTTGGGCGACCCAAGACATGCTTGAGCTCAATGCTTTGGACACATGCTCTCAGTGAGAGACGGTGGGTATTAATATCCGATGGCCCCCGAGGAACGGCGAGGTCGCCATATCCACCGCCTTGGTGCTACGGCCTTGGCAACATTGTGGCCTCGCAGTCAGGATCAGCTGTTAGAATCCAGGGTGGCTGGGGCGCACTGCGAATTTACTTTTGTGAAATGGTAATATGTACACGTGCAGATGCTTATGGCCAGTGCAAGCAGATGAGTTCCTGGCGAAATCCGTGCGATCAACACCACGAGCCCTCCGCGCTTGATTCGCAGCCACCGTTCAGCAGGTGACAGAATTGGCGCGGCAATGGATTCAGTAAATCGGAGATCGTGTATACAGTGGTTCGGTAATCTCATTGTGCTTTGAGCATGCGCGTCGACTTTCCATTCGTCTATCCACCTTCTCGTTTCTTTCCCTCACGGCATTTTGTCACGCGGCACGACAGGTCGTGGACCGCGAGCTTGTGCGCAAGGTGAGGGTCGTCAAACTTTGGTTGCACGCCGACATTCTCGCAGGAGTCACGCCCCGCCAGCCCGCACTGCGGTCGGACTACGTCTGAGGATTTCCCCCTGGTCTGGGCCCTCGCTCCTCCCTCTTCCCCATCTTCTTGTGTCCAGCATTTTTCCCCCTCCTCCCCATGGACCCTTTCCTCTCCTCTCCTGCCCTTCCTTGGCCCCTCGCCGCCCCGACCCTCTCGCCCACCCTGTCCCTTTCCTCTCCCTCCTCGAGGGTGATGCCGTCTCCAGTTGGTGCGCCACCGCAGACGCATGGGGCGTGCGGTGCATCACCACCCACCAAACCACCCCAACTCAACCCGAAGGCTCAGATTTACCCTCGATTTCTAGTGGGGGGGGGGTCGGGAAACATAGAAAAAACACGCGTGGAACCCTTACCCCCCCCCAACCCGAAATTCGGGTCTTCGGGTTGGGTTGGGGTGGTCTGGTAGGTAGTCAGTGCATGCGCTGACGAAGCTGCCGAGCGCAGTCGACAAAACGGACACCCGCCAGCTGCACCGAGGCGTCCAGGGGCAGCCGCCGAAGGCTCCTCCTCCTCCTCCTCCTCCTCCTCCTCCTCCTCCTCCTCCTCCTCCTCCTCCTCCTCCCCGGCGCCCCGCGGGCGGCACGGCGTGGGGGGCGCTGACGCCGAGAGGTCGCGTGCCGGCCGATTGTCAGCGTGCCGGCGCTGCTGCGGTCGGCGGGCTGGGAGGAGCCTCAGAGACGGGGGTCAGTGCAGACGGGGGTCAGCCAGGGCACCGGATCCTGCAGGATCCTGCGAAGGCCCCCTCTGGCTGACCCGGGTTAGCGAGCCGCTCGTGGCCGCGAGGCGGCCGCGCCTATTGGCCGACCCGGGTTTGCGGAGATCTGCAATGGCAGTTTTTTGTTTTTTTCTGCATAGCAGCTTTGGGTTTCCTGCTGACCCGGGTCTGGATTGACCCGGGTCAGAAGATCCCCGAGGTCTGGGAGGAGTGCGCGGGACTCGGCCGAGCTGGCCTCGTCTCGTGCCCCGCTGCCGCCCCCCTGCGCGCGGAGCCGGCGTCCGCAGCCCGACCCCGCGCGCGTGCGTCTTCAACGCTGCGCTGCCGAAGGCGACGCGCAGCCTTGGGCTCCGGAGGCAGGCGCCGCTCGCGGCGCTGCTGAACGATGTCCGATCCCTGCTCCCCCCCTTCCTCCTCTTGGCATCGCTCGGACGTGTGCATTTTTCGTTCGGCGCGGACAGTCGAGGAGCATCCTTGATCATTTGGCGAGAAAAAAACACGCACGAAACCGAACAATGCACGGGAAATGGACGTCCGAGCGACGGCAAGTCCTCATCCTCCGCCCCTCGTCCTCACAGGCAGCTTCGCCTCGTCGCACCACCACGCGCGCTGGCAGAGCGGCTCGGATGTTCTTCTTTGCGCCCGCTTCGTCGCGTAGGGTTCCAGTTCCCAGCACCTGCGCGAGTGGAGGGCGTACGTTTGCATTTGCAACTCCATGCTTGGAGGGCCCACATGGGCAATTTCGAAGTATTTGAGAACTCTTTGATTTTTCGGGGGCCCAAATCCTTTCATTTCTAACTGTTCTATCCTGGATTTCTTCCTGGCCACTGGGGGGCCAGGAACAATTGGAAACGAGCACACTTAGACATGAGCATGATTAGAAATGAGCACGACGTGTACATCATGTTGGGCAGCTGGACGGACGGTGGGCGTCTCCTTTGCAGACAGGCGCGCTCCCCTGGCGCTCCGTGAACCTTCATGGCCAGAAGTTGGTGACCGCGTCGCGGTCTAACTGATGCAGCGTGGCCTCCTTCCTAAACGGGTTTTCACCAGTTCCCTCAGCTTCGGTGCTACTTGTGCACAACCTGCATGGGTGGAAGGATGATGGGCGGATCGTCTTCAGAACAGGACTCCCACCTGAGCGGCGGGCCCATGGAGCGTCCTTCTTCTGAAGGGGGCGCCTCCTGTGGTGAGCGAGTGAGGTGTGGACTTGTGAGGCGAGTGCTTTGCACGGGAGGGTGATGGCATTTCAGAATCGAAGGTGAATGCTGGGTTTATTCTGGCGCTCGTCCTCCCTCCCTCCCTCCCTCCCTCCCCCCCTCCCTCCTCCTCCTCCTCCTCCTGCTCCTCCTCCTCCTCCTGCTCCTCCTCCTCCTCCTCCTGGGGCGGGGCGGTGGGGGGCACGGGGGCACTGTATGGGATACACAACGCCGCATCTGCAGTCGACCACGTCCTGCTCCTCGGCTCCAAGGTCCAGAGGGGCAAGAGCGACACGCAAGACAAGGAGCCCCTGCTCCCCGAGGAGCGGGAAGGATGATGATGAGGAGGAGGAGGAGGAGGAGGAGGAGGAGGAGGAGGAAGAGAATGAGGAGGAACGCTGCTCACGCATCGCAATCCGCTCCTGATGTGCCTCGCAGAGGCAGCGCTGTTGTCGATCTTCAGCCTCTGGTGCGATCACCGCTCGCCAGGCTGCGGGTAGCGGGCGGCGGTCGAGGATAGACCGAGGCGCGCCTTCGGCCACGCTCCAAGAGGAGGAGGAGGAGGAGGAGGAGGAGGGCATAGGAGGCGGGTACAAGCAGGAGGTAGGTCGATGATGCGACGCGCGGGCTTGCTAGGAGCGTGCTCGGCCCGGCAGCAGGGCGCGGTGGGTGGCGCGCCGCGTACGCCACCGCCAGGAACCTGCCCGGGACAACAGCGCACAAGGCACAGGGAAGACGATCGGGGGCGACCACCCAACAGGAGAGCCGGGGCACGCCATCCCTCAGAACCGGGAGACAGGTTGGAGACGAATGTCGCCAGCGCTGCCCGCCAGAACAGACAAACTGTTGAAACCAGCGTATCGGACGGCACCGTCTGTCGACGATTCCACAGCGCTGGCTGCAGCAGAGGCAGCGGCCCCGGCCCCGGCCCCGAGCCGCAAGAGTCGAGAGCGCTGTGCGAGAGGGCGAAGGGGGAGAGCCAATGGGGAGAGGGAGCAAGCTGGAAGCCCGTAGTTGGATACAGCGGGAGCCCATGCCGAGGCATACCCTGCTTGCCTCCAGGGTGCCCTCGGTTTCCTGGGTGTCGGTGGTGTTCCTGTGGGGAGCGTGAGGCTCCCATGCCAAAGATCAATGGGCGTCTTGGGGTTCCAGGGTTGGGTTTCTTGTAGGCGTCTCGTGGTCGAGCTCCTACTGTGCACAGGTCTGGGCACGCTGCAAGAAGAAGCTGCAACTACAGGTAGGCACCTGCCACCGCGAGTGCCACGACGCATGAGCGCAAGAAGTCCATTCGCAGACAGTGGGAGCAAGTCACCAACGCAGGGCGAACAGTACGGAGGGGTCCAGAAGCGGGGAGAAGAAGGGAAGTGCAGCACGCCGCGCCAGCAGGGCGAGCTGGGGCGACCCGCGACGAGAGCACGTAAATGTCTGGGAGCACACAGCTCCGAGCAGGACACAGCCCGACTGAGGAGGGTAGGCACGCGCGCAGAGACCCGGTTCTCACGAGCTGTGCGAGAGAGAACCCCGCAGGGCGCGCGGGAGCCGTCGGGGAGGCCGACTGGAGGCGACCAAGGACGAGTGAGCCCGGGCAGACCTGCTGGCAGGGCCAGGCGCACTGAAAGAGCTCACCGAGAGTCACCACCTACCAAACCACCCCAACCCAACCCGAAGGCCTCAATTTGCCTTCCACTTCCAGTGTGGGGTGGGGGGTCGGGGAGCGTTGAAAAAAACACATGGAACCCGTGACCCCCCCCCCCCCCAACCCGAAATCCGGGGTCAAACTCGGGTCTTCGGGTTGGGTTGGGGTGGTCTGGTGGGTCGTCGGACAGGTCGACCAGAGGGGAGGCAGCCGGCAGGGGCGAGGCGGGCAGCGGCGAGCGCGCGGGGTGCGAGCGGAGCGCCCGCAGGAGGCCGAGCAGGGTGATTAACCCGGGCAGACCTGCACAGGGGGCCGGGAGAGCTCTGCGGCCTCGGCCCGCGGCTCGGGGAAGGCGGCAGGGAAGGCTCGGGAGCGGCGAGCGGACTGCTCGTTCGATAACCCGCACAGAGGGCAGGGAGCTCTGCGGCCTCGGCCCGCGGCTGGGGGAAGACGGCGGGGAAGGCTCGGGAGCGGCGAGCGGACTGCTCGTTCGAGAACACCCTGCTCGAGCGGAGGCGCGTGCCCTATGCAGCGTGGCCTGTACTCGAAGCCTCGACCGCCTTTGCACAGTCGCCCCTGGCGCCATCGCCCGTCGTGGGTAGTGCGGCCGCAGCATGCGCAGGCGGGGGGGGGGGGGGCGTGATGGGCACGCACTTGGTGCAGTGGACCCCATCCACTGTTGGCACGCATCACTGGCCACTCTTGGTTCGCGCACGTCTGGCGAGTGGGCGGACGCACGGAGGAGCCGTCGTCTTTCCCGGCCCTGGTGCTAGATGAGGTTGAGCGTAATCCGTGGCACGCAATGCAGAGTGGAAGGGTGGTGGAGGCTCTTCGTCATGAGGTAATGCGCCGTCCTGCACAGCATCCTCATACGTGAGCCCAGCCTTAGCCTCTCCAGCTTGTAAATAGGCATTGATGTCCCCTCCGTGGAGCTGATGATGCGCGCGCACGTTGTCATCATGGCCTTCAGCAGCCAGTGAGCACGTGGCGGGCAGAGCAATGGGGCGACTGAGCGCGCGCGTCGTCGCGCATAATCCTCATCGTACACCCTACGCGGGTGGCGCGAGAACGTATGGGGACGTCCCTTGGAGGCAGGCGAGGGAACCAGACCGGCACGAGGCCTGCTGGGAACCATGAAAGCAGAAGGTGAACTTGGCGAACATTGGGCGTCCTCACGGTGGCCTGCACAAGCCCCAAGTGCACGATGCCGAGCTGAAATTTCCTTGGCAGTCCGAAGGGATGGAGAGCGCGAGTTGGGGCGACCCTTGAAACGATGCCTGCTGGAAACCTTGACCTGCCTCTGCAGAAGCACTCTGCGCATTGGTTGGTGGGAGCTGCAATTTGACCCGAACTCGCGACATGCGAACAAAAAGAAAAGCGTGCCCAGCGATTCAGACGTCGATGCCCAGCTGGTCCATCTGCGTCATCGTTGACCGGTGCGCTTTTGGCCTGGACCGCGACGCCCGTGGAAGTGTCCTCGGCGAACGCCCTGGGAGGAGGCGAGAGGATTCGCGCCTGCGGCACAGCCGACTCTGAAGTGCAAGCAGACGGAGCTTCGACTGCAGCGCCGATCCCCCGCAGAGACGGAAGAGGTCCCTGAACAGGCGCAGGCGGAAGCGTCGGAAGCACCAGAGTCCTGGAGCTGGGCGAAGCGAGAGGCGGTCTTGGTTAATTAGGCCCTCGCGCGGCCCGCTCGGACCCCGACCCGCCGCTGTGCGCTCTCGCCTGCGGCTGCTGACTAAAAAGAAGCGAGAGGTGGATCGGTTGACGTCGCCACAGGACGTGCAACTGCGGGGCCACCGAGCAGACGACGCGGTGGTGGCAGAGGGTGGCGGTCCAGGACCAGGGCGCACACCGAGAGGAACAGGCAGCGGAGGCGGCAAGGGAGGCGGCCAAGGCGGCGGCGGAGGCGGGGGATAGCCCGACATCGGGCATGCCCCTTCGACAGGAGGGATATCAAAGAATCGTAATACACTCTTCGGCAGCGGCCAGACTTGCGCCCACCGTGTTTGCATGTTTGGGCCCGAGGTGATCGTTTTTCCCCAGTCAGTGCTTGCACTGAAGGGGTCCTAGCGGGAGTTCAAAGATCTGGCGAACGTGCCCCGCCGATTTTGGTGGCAGGGTGGGTTCCCGGGTTCCCGGTTCCGGGTTCCCGGGTTCCTGGTGATTGGTTCCGGGCCGATTTCGGTGGGTTTTGGGTCCCCGGGCTCCCGGGTTCCCAGTCGATCTCCTCAGCGAAAGCCATCCTTTGATTGGGGTTTTTCTCTGGTGTCATATCTGATTCTTTCTTTTTGCCGATCGGCGCGGCGGGCCCCAGCACCCTTCCCCCCCCCCCTCGTGGAGTAGATCGCTTTGGGCGCCCGTTTCGAGCAGAGGGGGACCCTCCCCCCCATAGGGCGCAGTGCTGCAAACAGTCGCTCTGAGCAGAGGTCCGGAGCCAGACCCCCCCCTCCCCCTTTTCCGCCAAATGTCGAAACGCCGAAATAAAGAAACGCTCACGAGTCGAAGAAGAGAAAACGACGCAAACATAAACTTTCGGAGCTCCGCGCGGATTTCTTGGATCCGCTCGAGCCTCGAGGGAAACGTAAACCTTCGGAGCTCCGCGCGGATTTCTTAGATCCGCTCGAGCCTCGAGGGAACGGGAGTCGAAGGATAGAGAACGACGCAAACATAACTTTCGGAGCTCCGCGCGGCTTTCTTGGATCCGCGCTGGGCCCCCCCCCCGGCGGCGCCTCCAGCGCCGCTCCTGGCGCGCGGAGCGCGCCAGGGAGGGGGGTCCAGTGCAGATCCAAGAAATCCGAGTGGACCGTCGAACGTTTATGTCAATGCCGTTTTTTCTCCCTCTGGGGAGGGCGCTTCCCTTCAGGGGCGACCCCTCACGATGAAGATGCCGTTGGACGGCGACTGGAAGCAGGCGGCCGCGGCGTCCTGGCCCTCGCCTGGGGAGGAGGAGGAGGAGGGCCAAGGTGAGCTCAGGATGCATCAGCGACGCCGTCGTGTACCATCTCGTCCCGAGCCCCCCCTCTCCTCACGAGTCCCTACAAGTATCCCTTGCCACCGCGGAAAGACACCACCCCTTTGATGATGAGCGCAGGGCGGGCCCGCCACACAGGGGAGGCACCATTCTGTAAAGGACCCGGCTCCCATCCAAGGGAAGCTCCAGCGAGAATCCCGTTTTGACAAGGGAGTGGCCTCCATCCGTGCGAGTGCTGCACAAGATCAAAGTTTGGCTCTCAGCATTCCAGGAGGTCTCTGGCGAGAGCCTCGTTTCGAAGAGGGGCGGCTTTCCATCCGTGCAGCTTTGTCACAGGTGGGACTTTCGGGTTCTGCAGTTCGAGGGGGTCTTCAGCGAGAGCCACATTTTGACAACGACCTAACCCCTAATGAGCTTTAGTTTTACTTCCACCCCTCGCTTCTCTCGGCGGGGAGTAAAACTCGTCCTTCCTCTTCCTCCTGTTTCTCCTCCTCCTCCTCGTGGTCTCAGTCGTCATCGCAGTCGCAGTCGTCGTCATCGTCGTCGTCGTCATTGTTGCGTTGCGGGTGCCGCGGAGGAATATGATTGTTCCATAATTGGTGGGACCCCAGTCCGTCAGTAGGGGCGTCGGAAAGATGATTGGATTTCACGATTGGAGGGGCTCTGAAAGCCGTCAGGGGTTATCGGCCTCCATCGTCGTATGTTTGATAATTTCAAGGCCCAAGAGGCCTATGCCCAGGTGGCAAGTGCTCAAGTCTGGTTCAATCAAGCTGATCAAGCAAACCCAGGCTTGATTCGATTCTCTCTCCTGGTGGAACGGCCCCGCCTTGAGACGCCCATGTTGTGCGACCGAGTGCGCCGAAAAAAGGATGTATGTTTGTCGACGCAGTAAAAACGAAGACGTAGGTTGCAGTGAAATGCATGTAAACAAGCAATTGTTCCCAGTGAGCGCGTACAGTCTTTTGTGGAACCACTGGCAGTATCAAATTGCTCATCGATCCGACAGCCACCTCGATGCGCCCGTGTTAGCTTCTCCAGTCCTCTACTCTGGATTGGCATCTGAATGGGGTTTACTCGAAAATCTATTGATGCCTGTAGATAGTGCAATGGAGCACATTGCATAAGACAGTCATTGGCATCATGGGCAAATTATTTAATCGCTTCGCTCATTCCGCCGGCCCATATTGTCGCACCGTTGTGGGCTAGCCGAGTTTTGGGGGCCGTTTTGGGGCCTCTTGGGGCCTCTTTTGGGCCTCTTGGGCGCCTCTTGGGGCGTCTTGGGGGCCTCTTGGGGGCCTCTTGGGGCCTTTTTGGGGCCTCCTGGGCGCCTTCTGGGGCGGAGGGCTCGATTTTTCAGTTCTCGGTTCCCCTCTTGAGCCCCTCTTGGGCCCGTCTTGGGGCCTCTTGGTCCGTCTTGGGCGGCACTTGGGCCGTCTTGGGGGCCCTCCTGGGCCGTTCCGGGGCCGTCTTGGGAGCCTCGTGGGCCGTCTTGGAGCGGTCTTGGGGGCCTCTTGGGCCGTCTTGGAGCGTCCGGAAGCCGAAAAAGCCAGAACACAAAAAACATAGAAAAAAACAATGAAAATCAACGATTTTGGCCTCTTGGGGCTCTCTTCGGAGGCCTCTTGGAAGGCTCTTGGGGCGTCTTGGAGGCCTCTTGGGCTGTCTTGGGGGCCTTTTGGGCCGTCTTGGGGTCATCTTCGGCGTCTTCGAGCGCTCTTTGGGCGTCTCGGGGGCCTCTTGGGCAGTCTTGGGGGCCTCTTGGGGCACTCTTGGCGCGCTCAGGGCGGCCTGAGAGGCCGCACCCAGAAGGAAAACCATCTCTGAGTTGAACCGGGCGGGACCTTGCCAGGCGGCGGGCGGGGTACTTTTCGCCGGGGGACCCCCAGGGGCCGCCCCGCGCGCGCGAACTAGTACAATACAATTGTTAACCAGTTACCGGAGATCTTAGCACGCCTCTGGCCCGTTGGGCCGGCGAATTTTCTCGAGCGAGGACGGGCATGCGAAAGACCAGCTCTGTTTGTACTCGCACAGAACAGCGAAACAATCGGCGGAAGTAAGGTCCAGGCACACTTAAAAGAAGACGCAGACAGCAGTGAGAGTACGTAATAGGATCGAGCAGTCGAGCACGCAGTGTACAATTCTGTGTCGTAGTGTAGTGCAGAAGATATACTGTTGTGCTGCGCTGTGCTTAATGGGACCTGTTCCAGTTGAGCTTGAGAGTGTTGTGGGCGCTGATTATGCAGAGCATACAGCGCGCATTCATTAAGAAAGGCCGCGACAAGATACAGCACACAACGTTGCATTTTCATGTGAAGATGGTCTGGGGCGGAACCCCGTCGAAATGGAGACTTGTTTCAGCATTGTCCAGATTGGAGCTCGGTGCAGTCAGCTTATTACTTAGTATGCCAGTCAATATCAAGTGACGCCGAGGCACCCGTGCATGGACGAATCGGGACCTTGAGATGGAGGATTGCGACCACCGCTTGAAGTTAGGCTGGATCGTACTGTCGCACACGTCCGGGCAATCGATTGCAGAATAGTCATATATTCTCAACGTCGTCTACGACTCTGGCCAGCTTGATTGGTGAATCGTTTCAAGGTGTTTCAAATACATGCTCCAGGCTGGCCGCGGATTCCAAGGACTACTTCAACAGAGGCTGCGGCCTTCGCGTGCAGGCCGCTGGTCGGCCCGGCCCGTCCCCTCCCGTGGACGGCTCGGGCGTCGCCGCCGTCGTCTTCAAAAGCCCAACTGCGCGGCGTTCATGCGAAGCCGTGAGTTTCCACGGGCGGCCGTTCCATCTGTGCTGTTGCTGTGGCTGGAGAGTGTCAACATGAAAGTGCCGGGCACTGAGGAGATAGCCGCAGATTGAGAATGAACTGACCTGCGTTCTTGTCGCCGCTAATTTGTCTAGCGTCGTGATCGTCAGTGCGCGGTGTGGTCGAGCAAAAACGCGTTCCTTGGCCGTGCAGTTTTTGTGCAATTTGGAATCCCAGGTCGTACAAGTTGAGGTCGTGTCCAAGCGAGAGCCGCATTCTGAAAAGTTTTACAGGTCCGCGTCTTGGTAATTGTTCGAGTTCTGTTTAGCGAATGCGCGCGTTCACAAAAACACATATATATATATATATATATATATTACAATCGGCATCCGAATGTGTAAGTTTGGAAACGATACAAACACATCTGCGCTGCGCCCAGGCGAGAGCTGCATTGTGAAAGCGGCTGTCTCTCCATCCTTGCAGCTGCTGGTTTTCCCTCATCCGCGCTTGCACTTAGGGGTCCTAGTTTGATTTAGGAAGGAGCGGGCCTGGTCGTCGGTCCAGCCGGCGCGTGGCCGCTCGTTGCCGCCGCTTCTGGTCACGATTTGATTGCGCGACGCTCGCGCCCTGGATTGCTCCGCATTGCGTTGCATTGCTTTGCGTCGTTCTGCACAACGCGGGTTGCACCTCACAGGGTGTGCACCATGCAAGGTGCACCTCGTGGATCTCTTTTCCCACAAGGGTATCAAGGTCGACCCCTCCCACAGGAGTCAACGGGCCACTCTTTTCGTACTGCAAGTTGCATATGATTCTGCCCCGCCGTCCATCTTGAGTATTAACGCGTGCCATGCCAGGCAGGCCGCTGTCGGTTCCCACCCTCGCCCTCTACCAAAAAATACTATGCGCGCACTCGTTTATGTCAGATCATAAATTTCCAAGAGTCCCATTTCATGAAGCGGGACGAAGTGCACGTGCGCGCGTCGTCCCGCGCATGCCGAATTCATTCAAACACCGTGCGTTCCGTGAGGATTTCAAAACCAAGAGTCGCGAACACATATAAAACACATACTGGTGTCACAACATGTGTTTTTGAATAACAAGATTCGCCCGCGCTTTTGCGATGTTATGTATGTTTTGTTTTTTGTTGTTTGTGTCTGTTTCTGTATATTCTCAGATACAAAGCCCCTCAACATGTTCCTAACGTGCTACCAGAGTGGCCTCTCCCGCGCGCGTGTCAAAATCGTTCGAACGCTCTTGTGCGCGTGCTGTCGGAATAATCCCGCAGCGGGTGGGACGAAGTGCGCACGCGCGCGTCGTCGCGCGCATGACCAAATCCTGCCAAAAACTTCAGGTACCGTAAAGATTTCGAAAACAAATCGAAACGCATGGTTTTGCAACGTCAGTTTTCAAACAATCCGGCGCTCGCGGTTTTGCGGGTCCTGAAGAAAACCGCAGGTTTTCCAACATGGTCGTCAAATTCTGCCACACGGGCCTTTCGCGCCGCATGTCGAACTAGCTCGGACGCCCTTGCGCGCGTGCTTTGGGGGGGGCACGACTCGTGTCAAATAATTCAACGCGGGCCACTCGCGCGCGTCGGCCGCGCGCGCATGTCGAACTTCTGCAACAACCTTCATTGTCGACGCGACGACATCATCATCGTGATCGGCGGGCGTGATCAACATCGGGGCCGTCATTGGCCTTGCCATCGTCATCGCCACCATCGTGACCATCATCGCTACTCTCATAATCGTGTCTACCGTTGTTGGCGTCGCAAGAATAATTACCGCGCCCGCCCAAGTCATTGACCCGCACTGAAGTGGCCGCGGGGAAGTGCCCAGCAGTCAGCGCCAACGCTGCCGCGTCGGTCGCGCCAGGCTAGCTGGCCGGTGCGCGCACGAGCGTGCGCGGGCCATCAAGGCCGCAGAAGAGCACCAGCCAACGCCAAGCACTCATCGCAGTCGCCGCCGCATGGGTTTTGCAAACCGATGCGGATGGGCGGGTGGGATGTTAACAAAAGCGTGGGATGTGTCAACTCATGTGTAAAATCCAACTGCACCACCACCACCTAGATTGTGCCGCGCAGGTTGCAAAAATCGATGGTTTGGAATCCACGGTGGTTGATATCTAGTCTAGTGGTAGTAAAGCTGCACGGCCGTTGTCAAACGAAGACACCCCCACCATCCGTGTCGCTCACTGGGTTTGTTTAGTTGGCCGTGCGTGGCACAATGGCGACAATCCCACACTGAATTCGAGCCGCCCTCCATCCGTGTAGCTGTTCCCTGATTTGGATCTCCGAGCCACAAGGTTTGAGGAAGTTCCAAGCGAGAGCCGCATACAGAAAACGACCACATTCCAGACCCGCAACCGTAGGCATCTATTCAAACACATGCGCGCGGCGCCAAGGCCAGAGCCGCGCTTCTCAAACGACCAGCCCTCCACCCTAGTCATGCCATATCCAAAGTGAGCGTGTTGTTTTTTGCAGGCGACCCCGTGCAGGGAAGCAGCCTCACCCCCCTTCCCTTCTCATTTTCTTACAGTCATCATCAGCATGACCGCGCGCACCCACACACCCACGACATGACCCTCGCCATCAGCATCGGCATTCCACAGACACGCTTATACAGTCATCTGCTGGGAATCTCGAGCGGGAGCCTCATCTGCGAGTGGCTTGCGAGGACATCTCGAGCCAGAGCCCCTTCCTCTGGGGTCACCACCTGATGTTTCTGTTCCGAGGGGGCCAATTGGGCCTTACAGCTGTCAAGAGGGGAAAAAACACAGGCACAATTAATCGTCGATTCCCCAGAAGAAAATATGGGAACATATGGGAAGTGGTGGGGAAAACAAAAACCTAGAAACTATGGGAAAATATTGGGAATCCGGTTATTTGTGTCTATTTATTTGTGTCCCAGGGCCCCTTCAAGCCGTTGGCCTCGTGAGGCTTGAAGCCGAAGGAAGTCTCGAGCGGGAGCCTCGTGAGTGGCTTGCGAGCAAATCCCGAGCGGGAGCCCTGCCCGATGGGTCCCAGCCTGACGTTTCAAATCCGATTGGGTCAACGGGACCTTGTAGTTGCTGTGCTCGTGAAGCCTGAATCCTGAGGAAGTCTCGAGCGGGAACCCACCCGATGGGGTCCCAGCCTCATCTTTCGAATCCAAGGGCGGTCATCCAACATTGCAGCCGTCGTCGCTTAACGGTTTGGGCGAAATGTCGGGCGGAGGCATCGCCTGAGTGAGTTGCGGATTCGTTTTGTGCGGGATTGGCGGCTTGCCCCGCCGTTGCCAGCTCCCACAGCAAGTCGTGTTATTGTGTTGGGCACGACAGTTTCGTACCGCTTCGATACAGCGGCGACGCCGCCGAGGGCATTCACGGTGAAATGTTTTCTGAGGGACTTTTCGGGCACCCGCAGAGAAGAATCCACGTCGCGAAATCGGCGCGAAATATTGGTCGCAAGCTTCGGAGTACCCGTGGGTGCGGAGACAGTGAAGCGCGTTGGTGTTCACAAGGGTTGACATGCATGCTTGCAGCATACGCCTGGGTAGTGCAACGCGACAGGCGACACGCCGATCCATACTACGAATCTGGGACCCCCTTGCAGCACGAGCGTGATGGAGGGGTCGGCGACTACGGCAAAGACTGTGGAGCGCTTGCACAGAAGGGGCTTTGAGATGGCAGTGAGGGAGGGAGGCCGTGACGGCAGGAGAGATCGCGGCGGCTGCTGGATCACAAAAAAGGCAACCACGGCAGGGTAAAACGACGCGAAGATCGAATCAAAATCGGATCGGGATAACTCGAAATCTCTGAGAATCGGCGGGTTTGGAGGATGTATTGGGCGCCGCGGCCGCTCCAGAGCGTTCCGGAACGCTCTGAGAGCGCTCCGGAACGCTCTGGAGCGATTTATCCCGATCCTAGCCTTGTTTTAGAGGGAAAAAGCACCCCGACCCCCATGATTCGGGCCTGGGCTCTTACCAAACAGCGCTGCCCTGTTCGATTCTTTCCATGGGTGCGTTTGCGAAACGGCTTCGCTTGTCCAGCCAGGGGCAGGGTGCTTATGATGAGGAAGGCTGTTCTGCTCTCTACAGGGGGAATGCAGAGGGGACGGGCCTTCCGAGAAGGCGCTTGGCCTTCTGAGAAGCTTTCTAGGCCTTCGCCTAAATCACGGTGGGGCCCTCAAAAGGCCGGAGGGCTTCTGAGAAGTCCCGCCGCCGCCTGAGAAGGCCTGCCCCCTTTCACTTTCCGCCTCGGCGCTCCGTCGAACACTGGAAGCAGGCGGTGGAGACTGTCCTGCTCACGCGATTGGGCATGACGAAAGACACCCAGCTGAGCTGCATTGCCGTTGACGAGGGCTCCTACAAGGACCCTTGTTAATTAGGCAGGAAGGCTGTTGGGGATTGGCGGGCGGGGAGGAAGATCAGGATGCTGACGACGATGAGCGCCAATTGCCCAGGACATGTTGCGCCGCTGCCAACATCTCATCATATCACTTGGGTGTTGCGCGAGCTTGGGATCTGATAAGACACAGGATTCGATGGCGGCGGTGATGACGATGACGGTCAAGCTGATTACTGTAGAGCGGTTGTTGTTGTTGTTCTTGATGATGGGGAAGTGAGGGTGTACGTGATGAAAGTACGAGTGATGGTCATCAAGCAGCTGCATAAAATGTTGAAGCTCCTGGATGACAGGCGTCCCTTTGCCCTCCGTATCAGCGGCGGAGACAAACAATGGGCACAGTAGGGAAGGGGCACATGATCGAATATCCCTAGAAGCCTGGGCAAGCATGCCCGAGTAAGATTCGGGGTGGTCCGTTCGTGCCGCTAGTTCTGATGGTTTCCACATACAGTCCGCCCGCATAGTGAGGATGGGCAACCTTCCCAAGTCTACCTCTGCATCCTTGCCCCTTCGGACCATCATTGGCCACTTTCGTTGGCCAACATCGTTCCAAAAACGCCAACGTGGCCCTCCAAGGCCCTTGCATCCTTACCGCGCACCCTCATGATACTGGCCGACTGCACCAGAACTCCATCGCTCTCGGGGGCACGGAGGCCTTTTGTCGTCGGGGCCCGCACGCAGACCTTGGCCGAGGAGGCCTCTCTCCGCCCCCCCGCCGCCCCCTTGGAGAAAGGCAGCCGCTCCGGCCCACACCGCGACGCGCGATACGCGATTATCTTCGCGCCCGCGCGGAGGAGGAGGAGGAAGAGGAGGAGGACGAGGACGAGGACGAGGACGAGGAGAGGGAGAAGGAGGAGGAGGAGGAGGAGGAGGAGGAGGAGGAGGAGGAGCAGGAGGCGGAGGAGGAGGAGGAGGAGGAGGAGGAGGAGGAGGAGGAGGGAGGAGAGGAGGAGGAGGAGGAGGAGGAGGAAGCCATACGGCCGAGGAGGGGCTGGGACCGTCGCGGCATCGTTCGTCGTCGGTCGCCCCGTCGGTCGTGGCTCGCGCGCCGCGGAGCCATCAAAGAGAAGACAAAGAGGCGCCGCAGCCGCGGCGGTCACCCCGACCGCCACGCCCAGGAACAAAGAAGAAGCCTGGCACCGCCGCGCCAGGACCCAGAGAGGACAAGACAGGCTGCTGATAAGATTGGCGGCTGCAGCCAGCAGATTGGAGCAGCACCACAGTGCGCAGCAGCCCCAGCGCCACCGGCAGCACGACATGGAGCAGAACTGGAAACAGCAGCGCGACGCCTCGAGGGAAAGGTGGTCAGGAGCAGGGACCACACACCTCGAGGCGTCGCGGCGCGGCCCTGAGAAAAGGTGGACAGGAGCAGGGTCCACAGCCCAGGCGCAGCGCCAGCGCAGCGCAGAATGGACTGGCGACTACGGAGCCATTGGTGGGCGGCCCTGGGAGTGGCAGCAGCATAGTCAGCAGCAGCAGCAGCAGCCACAGACCCACAAGCGCCACCAGCAGCAGCAGCAGCAGCCACAGACCCACAAGCACCAGCAGCAAAGCGACAGCGACCAGCACTGGAAGCACAGAGCGCCCTGGAGGAGCGCCTCAGCCAGAAGGAGAAGCGGCAGGCGCAGAAGAAGGGACCAGCTCGACACGCCTGCCGCAGCCCACATCGGCAGTTACCAGTACAGCCCCCAGCAGAAGGCAGTCCTGGACAGCATCACGCCAGTCTCCTTCGCCGTCGCGATGGAGCACGAGAGCTGGTCCGCACCTCCAGATGATGAAGAGATGAGGTTCGTGTGGTACAAGACCAAGTGCCACAGGCTGGGGCGTCTCACCGAGAACATCGCAGGTGCTAGGCTGGCCGGCTTGTGCACAACCAGCCTCGAGCAGGAAGCGGCGATCACCGCCACGAACATCTCCTTCGTCCTGCCCCACAAAGAACGCATGAGGCAGCTCAGGGCCACGCTGGAAAAGTTGGAGGAGGAGCATGCAGAGATGGAGAAGCGGCTCAGCAAGATGCTGGACCAGGAGGCGACGGCAGCCAGAACCATCAGGGTCTACAAAACCCTGATGAGGGAAACCAGAGATCAAATGGCCAAGTCGGCGGGAGTAAAGGACGAATCATCCGAGGAAGACGGGAGCCATGATCCCACCAGAGGACGCACGCCACACCCAGCCGCGAGGAGAAGGCGCGACCCTGCGGCAGCTCCAGCGGCTCCGGCCATGGCCCAACCAGCAACAGCTCAGCCAGCCCCAGCCCAGCAGCCCCGACCAGTCACAGCAGCATCAGACGAGATCAAAGACGCCATCAGGAGATTGACCGAGAGGCTTGATTCGCAGCAAAAAAAAGAACAGCAGCAAAGCGACCTACTTGCACAAGCAGAGTTCAAGCACAAAAGCGAACTGAAGGCCTACGAGCAGACCATCGCGCAAAAAATGTACCACACGACCGAAGAGCAGTTGGCCAAGCAGGAGAAGTGGCACATATGGGAGGTCAACGCTCTCAAGCGGCACCACAACGCCAAGCTAGAGGAGGAAGAAGCAAAAGCATACGAAGCACAAAGAGGCTCCCAGAGGACACAGGAGGAAAGGGCCAAAGGGATGCTCGCAGACTTGCAAATGCATATCGAGATGGAAAAGAAGACCTTGCGCGAGGAGATGCACATGGAAGACCAGAGAAGAGCAGCCATCTACACGCAGCAGGTCCAGAAGGCCAGGCAGGAGGAGCAAGTTGTGAGAGAGATGGCAACCCAAGAGGCCCAGTGGTACAAGATGGCGCAGGAGCACAACGAGAAGGCGATGCAGGAGATGGCGGAGGCGGAGTACCAGGAGAGATGCGCCCGCCACAGCGCTTATAAGGAGGAGGAGCTGCGGATCGCAGTGAACTATCAGCAGATGGCCCACGAGCATCAGGAAGAAGCCAACAAGCGCGAAGCGATGCGGGTCGTCCTGAACCTGGAGCACGCAGCCATCCAGGCGAAGGCATACGAGATGCAGCACGAGCAGGAAAGGTATCTGGAGCGCGTCGGCGAGCACCAGGAGGAGGTGGACAAAGCCCAAAGGATGGAGGAGGTGGCACTGCAGCGACAAACAGCAGCCACAAGCGAACTCCATGCATTACAGCAGCAGCAGGAGATGGAGAACCAAGCGGCGCACCAGTACCACAGTACACTGCAGCACCAGTGCCAGCAGGAGATGCAGGCCATCGCGCAGCACTACGCCCACAACCATCATATGAACGAAGCGCAGAGGCAGCAGCAATTACAAGAACTCCAACGGGCACACGATTTGCAAACGGCTGGACTCCAGACTGCACTACGGGAGGCTTGGGGAGCAGGAGGACAAGTGGACGAGGACCTGCTAATCGACATGACGGAGGACCTCATGGGAGACACAGCCACGAGCGAGCGTGACCAAGGCATGGCGGACCAGGAGGGCGCGTACCAGAGGGAGCAACTTGAGGCAGACTTACTTCGGCTGCTACCTAGCCAGTACGAACTTCCACATCCAGAACTGCCGCCGTACCTCGAGGAGCTGGCCGAGGTGGGATTTGGAGAGAGGTCCCATACATCGTCTATGCCGACGCCAGAGGAGCCTACCCCCTCGTCGAGCGACGACCTCAGCTTCCAGAACCGAAGCTTTGTGCCGAGGACATCCGCCGAAGAGTGGCCGCTCCCCCCACCACCACCTCAGCAGCGCCAGCACATTGAGGAGTACAACAGGGTCGGCTCCTCCTCGCACTCAGGGATGCTCGAGGTACAGGCGAGCAGCGATTGCATCCCAATTGGCGAATCCGACGACGCTGACCTACTGGACGAAGAGTGGAAGAACCGTCAAGGCCTGAGCAAGGAGAAGGAGGGCGAAGCCCCGACAGACCTCGCCTCACTCTCACCAACGATACCAGCCGACTCACCCATCCCGACGGAACAGCCCACGCCAAGACACATACTGTTTCCGCCCGTCACGCCTCTCACGCCACACAAAACCCCACAACAGCGTTCACAGACGGCCAAGACTCCCATGACGACGCTGTTCATCGACCTCAGCCGCGACGAGGAGGATTGCCCCAGCACACCTCCACGGATGCCGATTGAGGATATCACGCCCACCGAGCCACACGAGCCACGACTGCCACCACCGCGTTTCCACTTGGGCACACCAGAGAGGACGAGCTCGGCACCTCCATGCAGAGGCAACCTGAAGCAACCAAGGGAACCCAGGAGGGCGAGGAGCCAGCCGAAAAAGGTCAGGATCTGTGACGCGGACGATGGCTTCGCGGACCCAGGTGACAGAGTGGCATCCTTCATCGAGAGCGGCGAGAGCGACCTCGACGGGGGTCGACTGTCAAAAAACTGATACGGAGTACGCAGGCTGGGGGGCAACTGGCCCAGACCTGCGTCCAGACAACTACACCAGAAGATATCGGGGACATCGGGCCCAGACTCAGAGACCCGTGCGGTGACGAGCCTACGCCCAACGACCCACACCCATGGCTTTCGGCCATACGCACACGATCGCACCTAGCCTCCATCACACTACATAGCTATGACCAAGCCGATGCGAGCCTGGGGGATGCCGCATCCGCTTCAAACCACCACGCTCTACTAGGGAGCCCCGACTCAAGAGGCGTAGCAGACGATCTACCCGCACTATCAGCTCCCTAGACGCCGCGTCTGTGGGCAAGGGTGGGGACCACCCACAGAACGGCGACATCAAGTCTGAGCGCTCCAAGCGCGGACCTGAGCGACTCCCTCAGGCCGCGAGCCCCACTGCCAGCGGGGTTCAGACAAGCAACCAGCACCGCGACAGGGTGGGACTGCAACAAGAGTGGGAGAGCTACTCGAGCAGTCCGACGCAGTGCCAACAGCGTGGACCAAGGCGACACCCCTTGGCCATGTCTGGTTCGACATCCCACTTCGCGGGAGCCGCGGCGGCCCATGCGGCGTCGCAGCCCAGGCACCACAGCCATG